TTAATTGGCAGAATATTCAAACAAATTTGTTGGTCTTAAAGTTGCCACTGGACTCCACCTTTTTTTGGTTGCTTCAGAACAACATGGCTACACCACCTGCATCTGGCAGAATATTGGTTTGGCTTGTTAATTGCAGCAAATATCGGTGTGCTGGTAGGAGAATTTCAAACTGCCTGAAGTTTCCAAACTGTTTTCAAAGACTGTAGGTTGCAGTAGTTCAGTCCAAATGCTGCCAAAGAAAACTTGGGAAATCACATTATCAGTAATTTTTATTATGAATCGTCTCTGTACTTCTTTTCATTACATTTGAATTTTACGTAATCACTTTTCATCTCATACTTAGAGCATTTCATGGTTCTGTGACCCTGCTGTTCTTTTACAGCAGTATTCACAAAACCCTAGCTGACATCTCAGGAACATTAAAAACTTCTGTAGTTAATGTGGAATTGAAATCTGAGCAGATAAAACCAATTATTGGTTGTGTAGACAAAATGCTTTGCAAACTGGTTACAGCAAGCTGCTAAAACATCTGCTATTTGGTCTCAGTGCATCAAGCCTCTTATTGCTCAGAACTTAGTTTGCTTGGATGACACTGTGGCTGCAGTGGAGGCAGGAAAGTAAGCTTTTTATGATGTTTTTGTGGATATGAGAAAGCAGCTGTACCCAGAAGCAGGAAGAGTATCCTAAGGGTGTAGTTCTGTGAAGTAAAATACCAGTGAGCTGGGACTTTGCTAACTAAATACATAGGAGGTTAAGCTGAATGGTTTTTTTTAGCTTTTTTAGGATCTACATAACTTTTGCATACTTAATAGGAAGAAAACATTGCCTTTCACTCAAGATGCATTTGGAATATTTGTATTCAAAGAGCTTGAAATATTTTATTTATTTATTTTATTTATTTATTATTGCATTTCTATCCTGACCTCCCCACGAACGGGCTCAGGGCAGCTCACAAACAAGGGCAACCATGTGCCAATATAAAACATTAAAAACAGAATAAAAACAACCATAATTAACAATAATAAAGTGCTCAGTGATGTTCATCATTCAGATCGAATCAAGATGGTGACCTATAGAAGTTACCCAAAAGCCCGATTCAGCGGTACCGATCTATCGCGATACTGTGGCAAGATCTTGCTTTAGTGCATGATTTTGCTTTAGTGCATGACCTGTGTCCTTCAGAAATGGAAGGAACCATGACTTGTTTATCACAGTTGTTATTTGGCTTCTATTCTACAACAGAGTGGGGGATAAGTCCCATTGAAGCCCAGAGGAGAAGAAGAATTGGATTTATACCCCGCCCTTCACTTGGAGTCTCAGAGTGGCTTGCAATCCCTTCCTCTCCCTACAACAGACACCTTGTGAGGTAGGTGGGGCTGAGAGAGCTCTGAGAGAACTGCGCTTGAAAGAACAGCTCTGAGAGAACTGTGAGTGACCCAAGGTCACCCAGCTGGCTGCATGTGGAGGAGTGGAGAATCAAACCCAGTTCTCCAGTTAGAATCCGCCACTCTTAACCACTACACCAAACTGGCTCTTTCCTGAATAGGTGTGCCATAGGATGGTGATTTTTAGACAATAGTTTGTGGATGTGCAGATATAAGTAACTTACTTAGTTTTTAAGAAGTTGAGATAGATACTGGGGGGAAAGTTTCTTTGTCATGAATTGCTCTGGATCAGGATTGAATCACTCTAACTCAGGATTAAAAACATCTGGATTTCTTCAAATGTTATTTAACATCCTAAACCTTGAATAATTTGCCTCAATTAGACATGCAACTCCAAAATGGGACAAATTATGCTATCAGGGGCCATTGTGATTCAGGGAACAAAGGCCTGAATCATTAAAAAACATTATGTGTAGTTTGGCTCTTAGAAGGGTGTAACTTTGTTTAGGATTGCTCTGTAAGCACTTGTGATGAAAACAAGTGGCTGCTGGCATCCTCAGGGCCACAGTGGTTACCAGCGCCGATGTGGAGCTGAAGTGGCTCCTTAACTGCATTGTTCTGCGCATGCACAGACAATGCAATTCTATTTTGAGGGGATTTTAAAAAAACCTTAACATTTTTTTAATTTCAGATTTTTCTACAAACTTGGGGATCTGTTTAGTGTCACTGTGGCCCCGATCCACAGATTTAGATATCTGCAGATGGGGGCCATACGTCACTATTAGTATATAGGTACTTGGTGGCTGGTAGTAGATTAAAGGTTAAGAATTGCTGGTCTAAGCAGTCTGCTGCAGCTCCGGAAGTAAAGTTGCAGCCCTAAGCTCATTCATTCAGAAGTTCCAGTGAAATCAGTAGAGTAAGACTTATTTCGAAGTATAATCCATTATGCAACTGTAGCTTGTGAGTAAGACAAAACAGGAACTGTTTTTTTGTTTAAAATATTTCTAGGCCAGCATTTCTTCCAGTAGAGCCAGACCCTAAGACAGGTTATAACATTTTTTTAAAGTCATAAAAATCATATCAATAACATAGTAAAAGCAATAAAAACATAACTGTATTATTTTACTAGTGAAGTCGCACCATGATAATGCAAGGAGAGAAGGGACAGAGAGTGGTGAAGTATATTGCGGGGATCACTGGGTCTCTTTAGACTAATGCTCTGTTTACATTGCTCTAAGGAATTGTGGCTGATGTAAACGTATCAGTCCTCTTCTCCATTTCATTCGCACAACACCAGACCTGTGGGGTAGGTTAGGCCAGGAGACTGTGACTGGCCTCAGGTCATACAATGAGTTTCATAGTGAGTGGAGATTTAAACTTGGGTCACCCAGGTCCTAGACAAACAGCAATCCTAAAGCTGTTGTAGATTTTCCAGGTTGTATGGCCATGGTCTTGGCATTGTAGGACCTGACGTTTCACCAGTAGCTGTGACTCCACAGAGGTATAACACAGAAAGATGGAGTACTCTCTGTGTCAAGGTGAGAAGAAAAGTGGCAGGCAGGTAATTTATATCTACTCAAGAAGGTGGGGTAGGGCTGAGTCATTATCTTGTAGGAGTTCCTCAGGCTGTGAACATGCTAATGGAGCAGCTTTCCTGAGGAGGTTCTTTTGTATATGGATTCTTTCCTGAGGAGGTTTCCTGTTTTCTGAGGAGGTTCTTTTGCATGTGGATTGGCTGTTGAAATTCTAATCTTATCTGTACTGCTATTGTCAGATGTAGAACCCTTTGTGTTTTTCAGGACAGGAAACCATGCCCTATTTATTTTTAAACTCTCTTCTTTCCTGTTGAAATTGTGTTTATGTTTATGAATTTCAATGGCTTCCTTGTGTAATCTGACATGGTAATTGGATGTGTTGTCCAGACTTTCAGTGTCTTGGAACAAAATACTGTGTCCTGTTTGAGTTAGGCTATGTTCAGCCACTGCTGATTTTTCAGGTTGGCGAAGTCTGCAGTGTCTTTCACATTCTTTTATTCTTGTCTGAATGCTACACTGTGTGGTCCCGATGTAAACCTGTCTACAACTGCATGGTATGTGGTATACTCCTGCAGAAGTGAGGGGGTCTCTTCTGTCTTTTGCCCATCATAGCATCTGTTGTATTTTTCTGGTGGGTCTGAATACTGTTTGTAGGTTGTGTTTTTTCATAAGTTTTCCCACCTGATCAGTGATTCAATTACCATGTCAGATTACACAGGTAAGACAAGAAGACTCTGGCTAATGCTAGAAAAAGGCTGTCCTTCCTTCTTTATCTATTTTATCTATTTTTATTTTTTTGATTTATATCCCGCCCTCCCCAAAGGCTCAGGGTGGCTCACAAAGAGGAATAAATGCCAAGGTTAAAACAATAAAACAATATAAGGAACAATATAAAATACAGTATAATACATTCACTAAAATATTGGTGCTCCAAAAAGTCACTTAGATTGTGAATTCCAAGATGGGGTTCTGGAGTTATTTATAACAGAACAACAGTATACGTCCCAGCAGCACTGTCATCCACCAGGAACGTCTCGCACCCCCAATGATACCCGCTCAAACGATGGTAAAAGTGCGGTGATGGAGGAAGCGGTGATGGAATAGTGGTGGCGGCGGCTCCTAGTCAAAAGCCTGACGGAAGAGCTCCGTTTTGCAGGCCCTGCAGAACTGCACAAGGCCCCACAGGGGCCTGGAATGTCCAGGAGATTTTGGTTCCCCGACCAACAAAATTAGAGTCCAGTGGTGCCTTTAAGACCAACTAAGTTTTATTCAAGGTATAGGTTTTTGTGTGTGTGCACACTTCTTCAGATACATTGGAATGAAAGTTACCAGTCTGAAGAAGTGTGTGTGCACACGAAAGCTTATGCACTGAATAAAATTTTGTTTGTCTTAAAGGTGCCATTGAACCCAAATTGTGTTCTGTTGCTTCAGATCAACACAGCTATCCACCTGAATCTATCTTCCTTCTCTCAGGCAGCTTTCTGAAGGAGTGGCTCCCAACACAGGGTAGATATAGATGTTGTTAGTGGTTTTCCAGAGGGGACAAAAGACATGAATGACCTTCAGTCCCTACCTGCTGCATGGGCTTGGCTGTATCTTGGTCACTCTGAAGTATGACCCAGGCAACTAGGTTCTTCTGTTTATGTGAGATTCAGTAGTACCTTAAAGACCATCCAGATTTCCAGGATAAGCTTTTGAGAGTCAAATCTCCCTAACTCTTGCTCTTCTACCACAGTAACATCTGAACTGAACTGAACAGAACTGCTGTCAGTTCTAGCCCGTGCTGGTGTGAGCTACCAGCCTTGTCCCCAGCTCGCCGTCCACCCAGCGGTTCGAAAGCTCCTTAGAGAGGGTGGGTACACAAACCCCCCCTGGTGGGGGAGGTGTTAGCCGGCGAAACGGAATGTCCAGCTCGGAAGCCTGGAAAGATCTCTTCGGCATTAAGAAGCCTGCGATGGGCCAATCCGGCCAGGCGGTGGCAGTGCGGCGCTGCGACTCGAAGCAGTCCTGGAAAAACTGACGTCATCAAGTCAAGCCGAGTGAATGCCGTCCGGAGGACGTCTAAGTCTACAGCTGAACAAAAATCCCCGTCGGCTGCAAACGTGTGTGACTTAAAGATTTATATGTTGTCCTCCCTTACCCCCTATGAATCATTGTTAGTCCCTTGTTAATATGTGTAACTGTAAATCGCTCAGAGCCAGCAGCTCTGCAGGATTGAGCGATTAATAAATAGAAAGATATTATTATTATTATTATTATTATTATTATTATTATTATTATTATTATTAATAATAATCCCCTGGAAACTTCTATATATGTGGCGGTTGAGATAGAATATTAGTTAAATTCCACCCTCTTCCCTTGCCATCCAAGCCAACCCAAAGAACGCCATATAACTAGGGTTGTTGACAGGGCTGGAGAAAAATGTCCTGTCCCTGCAACAGAAGAAAACAGGCAGGTGCTACTTTTCATGGCTTGGAGGCAAATAATATCCCAATAAGCTCTATTAAACGGACAGAACTTTTTTTTCTCTATGCAGCTGGCAACCCCAGCTTGGGCTGAAATAAATACGAAGTCAAGTAGCTAATTTCTTATATTCTAAATCCTTACTGGGTTAACTTTTAAGCAACTTTACAACCCTGGTTCAGCAACTTTACAACACTCTGATAATGTCAATCAGCCACTTACTTCGCGGTTAACTTTTAACTTTCTGGGGCTGAGTTTTCCATCCTAAATTAATCAGCTGGTTTTTGTGTTTTTTCTTCTCCATAAAACAGTATGGTGAATCTACTGACTTGACAAGTTGCTTCATTCCTCTCTTATTTAGGCTTTGTCCCTTGAAAACGTGTGCTGTAATAAATCTGTTAATCTTTAAGATATCACAGGGTTCCTTTATGTTTTTGCTCTAGTAAACCAACATGTGGCTATGCAGCTGGAAACTGTATTTTGGCCCCGGCCACACATGCCGGAAAACGTGGGGGGGAGGCGTGACTATTCGCACCGTCGCATTCTGATCCACCATTATGTGATCAGACGCAACGGTGGCGCACCAGGGTTTCGTCCTTTGGCGCGCGCTGCAAAGAGGACAGCCGGAGGGAGTAGGCACGCACCGGCGCAATCACACCGAACGAGTCCGCCTGCAGCCCATGGCAAACCATTTGCTAGTAGATCTTTGCAGGTACTTTTTAACTGCGCCTCTTCAGCGGTCTGCCATGTTTTGGCCATGGGTGCACTATGCTTGCCAGATGTTGCCGTGTGATCGCGCCCCAAAAATCTGTCCAGCATTTGTGCCTTTCGCGCAGCAAGTTCTCCGTGTGACCGGGGCCTGGGTTTCTCTTATAAATCAAATATTTACACTTCATCACTCCTGGCAATTATCATTTTCCAATGGATTGATAAAACTGCTTAGTCTGCTTTCCCTTGCTGTGACTTATTTGTCCTGTGTGAAAAATTTAATACTGAATCTATGATTTGAAAGAACAAAAGCCTGTTTTATTTTCGTTAATTGCTAGAAGCTGATTTACAGACTGTTTTCTTATACAGACTGGTTTGTTTTTTTAAACAGAGCAGAAGGAAAAAGTCATTCTGGAAGCAGCTTGCAGAACACTCTAACTGGTAATTAACTTTTTTCAAATCTTTATGATACTAACCAGGGATGTAATTAATCCGTATCCATGCTGAACTATAAAATGCAGATTTTATCTTTTTACAGAAGAAATTAGAGTTGTCACCTTTTTCTTTTCCAGATTGAGACTTTGGGTGTTTCACAGCTGGACTCTGACAGGCAGGAATTTAATAGGTGCAGCTTTTTCTGGTACACAGAAACAGCAGCTGAAGAAACTGCATATAATGTACCTGTTGCTTCAGAGTGCAGTTGTTAAATTCAGTGACCTCTGCTGGGAATCTAAATACTTCCAGTTAGCTGACCTAACCTCTATAGCATCCTCTTGAACTAGGGTTTCCAACTACAGGTTGGGAAATTTGTGGAGATTTGGGAATGGAGCCTGGGGATGGAAGGTTATTGGACCGCAGTGGGGTACAACACCAGAGTCCACCTTTCAAAGCAGTCTCCAGGGGAGCTGATCTCTGTTGTCTGGAGATCAGTGGTCATTCTGGGAGATCTCCTGGTCTCACCTGGAGGCTGGCAACCCTACCTTGAACACTAAAGCGCTGTAACAATAATATGCTAAGGAAGAAACAAGAGTGTTTAAAAGGTGAGCAGCTGGGGTTAAATCTAGCTCCTGGGTACTTGACATCTCTAATTACTGCAAATCCTGAAACCACGGAAAAGTGGGTATTTTCATGTGTGTGTGTTTTGGGGGGTGCGTTACCAAGCCTAAAATTATTTTACTGCTTGAACAGAACAGCGTTCAATGTATCATTTATTACTTAGTCTGTACAATGGCATCATTTGGCATATTTAAAATTATAAATGCTTTAGTTTCCTACAAGCAAAATTGCAAATATAGTTGAGACAGCTGTAAACTGCTGTGCCCTATACTGCCTTAGCACATCTATCTTAGTTTTTGCCATCTGGGAGGCAGAAGAAAAAAAATGAAAATGGAAAACACACATTTTGTAGTAAACAAAGAAAGTTGTTTGGACAGAAACAGTCTAGTTAAAAGTCGCAACAGCATATTTTGCATATTAACTTTATAACATGGAAAACATTGAACTCTTCAATCATGTATTATAAAACACATGGTATATTAATTGTGGACAAAATCAGTCACATTTCAACAATATAGCCTTGGAAATACTGGATATGTATACAGTAGACACAGGAATCATCATTATCTAATGCTGTAGATGAACTTACATACATAAAAACTTCCTTCTGTTCATCTCAAGCTGGTGTCTTAAAAAATGTTTGTCTAAAAAAGCATTCCACTCGTTCCAAAAGAGAAAATATTTAACTGGAATGTTTTTCATAAGAAAGAAAGGGATTTTAACTGGAATGTTTTTCATAAGAAAGAGTGGGATTTCCCAGAAATTTTCCATGGTGGGTGGGGGGCTTCACATCTTTACTAGGGCTATCACGTCTGCCTTCTAGAATATCCCCCAATTCCAGAAATTGTTCATATAATATATAACTCGGCAATTTTCTCCTGCCAAGCTAAGGAATAGTCAGATGGTGCTTACAGTGCATTCTGTCCTGGGGGCAACCCCCAGTGAATAGCCCTGAGTAGGACTGCACTCGTAAAACCTTCCCACCTGGCTACCAGTGGGAACAGCAACAGGGGTTTTGGTAGTGCTCTCTTCTCCCTTGCATATAGGTAATTTATTTATACGTTTGTTTATTCATTTTTACCCCCTTTTCCTCCACAATGGGAACCCAAAGTGACTTACGGTGTTCTCCGTTTTACACTTGAGAGGTAAGTTAGGCTGAGATTTTGACTGGTCCAAGGTCACCCATGGCAAAGTAGGGATTCAAACCTGGGTCTTCCAGGCCCTAGTCTAACCACTATGCTACACAACAGCATAGTGCTTTTCTTAATCCATACCTTCCTCTGTTTTCCCAAGACAAAGCCCCAGTGGGAGCAAACAGCTAAGGCTTCTCTCCTAAGTACCCAGAAGTAAGGTTGCCATCTGCCTGAAGGAAAACAAAATGCCGTCTCTTTAATAGAGACTTTTGTTGTTCAGTCGCACAGTCGAGTCCGACTCTTCGCCATGCCACAAAAAACTTGCCATTTGTATATCTTGCCAGTCGAGTCCGACTCTAGGGTTGCAGTGCTCATATTCGTTTCAAAGCCGAAGAGCCAGCGCTGTCCGAAGACGTTTCCATGGTCTTAGGCCTCTATTAAATGTACAGAACATGTTTCTCCCGGCCTGTTAGCAAACATACCTGCAAGCAGGGCAACCCAAAGAATTCAGTAGGCGTAAGCATGCATATAGGGTTGGACCACACAACGCAAAAAGAGAGAAATTTGTCAGAGCCTCTCATGTGGGTGATCACTGTGAGTGTGCTCTTGTGCTTTGATTTGTGCAGGACTGAGGCAGAAGGAGGTGCTAATAACTACCAAGAACTGTTCAAGTAAAAATGTGACTCTTGTTAAAAATTGCTGACCAGTATCTTAAAGTGATGAGTAATATCCCTAAATTGGTAAAGGCCAATTGTAATATATTTTGTAAAAATCAAAACAATGCAGCTATTCCTGATAGTAAAACTGGAAAATCTTTTTTATTTTGTTAAAAAAAAAAGAAGTGGTGGTGATTTTAATGTTTTTAACTGTTATAACTCATTTCATGACCAAATATATAACTTGCATGGAATACCGTGCTTATTAGATTAACTACAGTTCTTGTTTCCCTTGTTTAAGATTAAAATAATTTTACTGCAATAGAAGAAGAGCATCCTTCAGATATGGAGGAAGATATTAAACCTCTCCTGGTCCCTGTTGGAGGTGATGAAGATGATGTTGGAGTCCTTAATATTCAGTTTAACCCAGAAGACTTTAAGTGCAAAAGGTAGAGACACACATTTTAACTACGTGCATGAACAATAGCGTGAAGCTAAAGTTTTATTAGGAAACTGTAAGCGAAATGGTGATGTACTGATTTGTTCAGCATTCCTGATTCATAATGATGTTTATTTTGGCACGGTTCACTTAGTCTTCCCGTTTCACAAGATCTCTGAATTGAAATGGATGGGGTAGCAGGTTTGCTTCAACAGAGTATCAGCAGGACCTATGTTAAACACTGGGTTGAGTGATGCCAGCTCTGCTGTGCCTCAGTCCTTTATAATCCATATGGACTGCCTACATGGGGCAGAACAAGTATTGATTCGGTTATTGTGTTACGTTCCAAAACTGGCCCATAAATAACGCATCTTCTATTACTGTTTGATGTATTGGTTAGGAGCGCGGACTCTAATCTGGGAGAACCGGATGAGATTCCCAACTCCTCCACTTGCAGCTGCTGGATGACCTTAGGCATGCCATGGTTCTCTCAGTGCTGTTCTTGAAAGAGCAGTTCTTGAAGGAGCTCTCTCAGCCCCACCTACCTCACAGGGTGTCTGTTGCGGGGAGGGGAAGGGCAAGGAGCTTGTAAACTGCTCTGAGACTCCATGTGAAGGGTGGGGTATAAATCCAATCTCCTCCTCCTCCTCCTCCTGCTTCTTCTTCTTCTGACCAATAGAATCTGCTTCTCTTATCATACTAATTGCAACTGCAATAGATGTAGGAGCTTTCTGGCCCTGCTCCATGAACCTGTATTCAGTGCTGGAATTATCATCTGGGGCATGGCCCCTGAAAGGTTTGCTGGATGTCTCCTTGGAATAAAGAAGGGGAAAGCACCTTCCAGCATCTGTGCTGGAATAAAACATGTGCAGTTTCTAATTCTTACTTGAATGCAAAACAACTAGTCCTCATGCTTGTGAGGCAAAAGTGTTCTGAGTTATCTCCTTATCTAGATTTATTTTATTGTTCTTTGCAACCATCTCATCAATGTTTGGTTGTGTGGCCACCTAGTCACTAGCATCCCTTCTTTTCTGCTCCAAAGTAGGAAAGCCCATCTTTATGTGCATCTTTTTAATGAGGAAAAGTTGGACTTATCCATTCCCAGGGACTGGCTTTAAAGGCTAAAAATGCTCTGTATATTTTAATGGGAAGGGGAAGATAAGGATAATGAGGAACTATTGGCAAGTAGTGGTGTGGTTTTGAAAAGCTGCAAGGATCTTCATGGCCTAAGAACATAATAGAAACCATGTTGGATCAGGCTAATGGCCCACCCAGTCCAACACACTGTGTCACACAGTGGCCAAAATCCAGGTGCCTTCAGGAGGTCCACCAGCAGGGCCAGAACTCCAGAAGCCTTCCCACTGTTGCTCCCCAAGCACCAAGAATATAGAGCATCACTGCCCCAGACATAGTGTTCCATCTATACCTTGTGGCTAATAGCCACTGATGGACCTCTGCTCCATGTGTTTATCCAGTCCCCTCTTGAAACTGCCTGTGCTTGTAGATGTTACCACTTCTTGCGGCGGAGAATTCCACGTGTTACTGTTTGGGTGAAGTACTTCATTTTATCTGTTCTAAGCTTACTGCTCATTAATGTCATTAAGTACCCACCAGCCAGTTTGGTATAGTGGTTAAGAGCGGCGGAGAACTGGGTTTGATTCCCTGCTCCTCCACATGCAGCCAGCTGGGTGACCTTGGGTCAGTCATAGTTCGCTCAGAGCTCTCTCAGCCCCACCTACCTCACAGGGTGTCTGTTGTGGGGAGAGGAAGGGGAGGAGACTGTAAGCCGCTCAGAGACTCCGAGTGAAGGGCGGGGTATAAATCGAATTATTTTTTTTCCTTCTTCCTCTATCCCATGCATAATTTTGTAAACTTTTATCATGTCACCCCTCAGTCATCGTTTCTCCAAGCGTTTCTTTGATGCGGAACTTTATCGAAAGCTTTCTGAAAGTCTAGGTATACAACATCTATTGGGTCACCCTTGTCCACATGTTTGTTTACCCCCCTAGTTATTACATTTGGGGATTCTTGTTCTTGTAGTCTTTGAGCAATGTACACAATCATAGAATCATACAGTTGGAAGGGACCACCAGGGTCATCTAGTGCAAACCCCTGCACAATGCAGGAAATTCACAACTACTTCCTGCCCACACCCCCAGTGACACCTGCTCCACGCTCAGAAGATGGCAAAAAAACCCCCAAAACAAACAAACAAAAAACCCTCCAGGATCCCTGGCCTGGAGAAAATTGCTTCCTAACCCTAAAGTGGTGTATTCCTGAGGGAAATTTTGCTGTATAACAGAATGGGGTCTAAGGAGAATGATATAGGCCTATGGAGAAGATGATTACTGACACTTCTGGAATGAGAGTTACTCTAGGTGAGTTAAAATCTGATCCCTTTTGGTTTGTTTAACTATAGACCACTTTTGTGTAAAGTTTTTTTGGGTGGGTGGGTAATGGGCATTTGGCTAATCAAGAACGGACTCAAGTATATATGCTTCAGTGTGGTCAGTTTTCCCCTCTGTGGTGGACTATAGCAGCTCTACTGGTTATGCACAGCGAGCAGTACAGAGCAAGTGAGACTTGGGGAGCGATCCCAAGGAGGTCTGTTCAGAGGTAAATCCTGCTGAGTTCAGTAGGGCTTACTCACAGGGTAGTGCACACAGGAATGCGGCCTAATGTTGCAGGCATGTACATTGAACTCAGTGGAACTCATTTCTGAGTAAACATGCATAGGAGCATGCTGTATCATTTATGCTAGATAATCTGTGTGCATGTGTGTGCATGCATGTTTTTAAAAGGTTGATTAAAATTGATGTTTTGGAGATTTTTGCAGAACAGTTTGGCAGCCCCAGCCAGGGCTCCCAAGAGCCATCATGGGCCCTCAGACAAAAATTCCATTGGGGTCCTTCGTAAGACCCTGATCCAAACCAAATATCATAACAAAACAAAGCTTGCTGTTACCATGAATGTACAGTAATAAAAAATCAGCCTTTCTGACCATCTGGCCATTTATGGGAGCTATCAGGGAATAAAGCTAGGAAACTCAAAATTGGCCACCAGCTTCAGGGTGATTGTGGAAGTTCCGGAGCCAAAATTGAAAGGCATGGGGATATCCTGGCCCAGGTGAGACATTCCCCCCCCCATGCTATTTGAAGTGGAAGCTAAGGGTCTCTGTTTGTAGCAGGCCACCACCAACCCCACAATAATGGTGGAAGATGCAGTGCCCAAAGTGAAGGGAATTAGAACACCCTGAACCAGGTTATCTTCACAATAAGCAACATGTAATAAGAGAGCAATGGTAACAGCTAGGTTGACAAGAGATTCAGCAGGTGAGAAAAAAATGTGGCAGTCTAGGTTTTAGTGAGTAGGAAGTGGGACTTAGTTTTGAAATGGGGCTTAACCTAGGACTGTTAGTTCTGAAACCTAATGTTGTAATGAAGAACATATCTTTTTTACTGAGAAACTGTAGTGTGTTTTGTGCAGAGACTTAGAGTTATACTTTTTTCCTGTGCCATTAACGGAAGGCTGTTCTAGCTGACAGTTTCCTGCAGCCATGAGGGCTGGCAGCAATGTGTTTCGGGTTTTTAAAAAAATAAAATCTACCTTGCATAGACTTTTCCATCATTGCCTGCCCATGCTAGATAAGACTGCAGCTACTTAATTTTTTTATCATGCAACTGTTAAAGGTACAGATCTTCTGCTCAGGGGAAAGGTGGCAATCCTTTTTTTTAAATTATTGAGTGTGTTTGGATTCAAGCCTGTCCTTAAAGGAGCTATAAAATGATGTCAAGCCCATTTTTGCATAATTCCCTTTCCTCATTGAGAGCAAGGTTTTATAGAGGCTTGATCTTTGAATGCAACAGCAGAAGTTGTGTTATTTTTCCATGAGTGTAGGGAGTGGAACAGGGCTTATGTACGTGGCAACACTATATGCTTGCAGCTGCTTAAAGGCTCTTTCATATAGCAGCAAAGTGTGTTCTGCTGTTATATCTGAACCCAAGCTGTATGTTTGGATGGGTTCGAAAACTTTGCTGAGGAACTGGAAGAATGAGTTTCAGTTGACTCAGCCACCATCAGAAGTCTTGAACAGTCTAATTTCTAGCATCTAAGTGAACTTTTCCTATATATTGTTCCTACAGTCATGAGGCCTGGCATCATGTTTGTTTCTAAAAGTGAAAAACTCAGATATGCAGGGGTTTCATCACTTGCAATATTGACGGACAACTGTTTCCCCCCTAAAATGGATCAATTATTGATGCATCTGTTAGCCTATGAACATGCATTAGTCTATTTCTGCTTCTCTTGCAGGCCATTCCATGTAGAACCCACAAATATTGTTAGTATGAATGACGACACGCAGAGAGTTTCTGATGAAGCTTCAGCAATGAATAAACGGATTCACTACTATAGCAGGCTCTCTTCACCTTCAGATAGAGCCTTGGTAAGAAGAAAAATATGGGCTAATGTAAAGCTTCCTCAGCATGAAGGTTCAGACCCCCTGCCGGTAAAAAGTGCTCAAAACCTATGATGTCTTATAGTTGAGAGCCAGTTTGGTAGTGGTTAAGAGTGGCAGGACTCTAATCTGGAGAACTGGGGTTGATTCCCCATGCCTCCTCATGAAGCAAGCTAGGTGACCTTTGGGAGCTCTCTTACTCAGCCTCACCTACCTCACAGGATGTCTGTTGTGGGGAGAGGAAGGGAAGGTGATTGTAAGCCGCTCCAAGACTCCTTCAGGTAGTGAAGGGCAGGGTATAAAGCAAACTCTCCTTCACTCACTCAGCAGCAGCTGTCTTCTGACTAACTCTGAATAGAGTGATGAGTGCTACTCCATCTGTATCAATTTACAGGTGATGGAAAATGGAAGGAAAGGTTGCTGAGGTGAGTGGAGAGAAGTGGCGACAGTAGAGTAGGGTTTAATCTGATGCAGTAAGCCCTGAAAGGTGATTGATACCTGGCCTTTGAATACACATAGTAGAACTAAAGGAGAGGATGCCTCTGAACTTTGTGCCATCACTTCTGTGACTAAACGTCCCGACTCCCGCACACAGAGTTATGAAGGTCTTCCAAGTGAAAGACCAGAAAACAAGCACAATGTTGGAAGACTTAAAGACTTATAGCTGATCCTTTGTGGGTTCTCTTTTGTTTAGGTGGCTCCCGATCATGTGGTTCCTTATCCTGAAGAAATTTATGTGTACAGTCCCTCAGGAACTGCTTTTAAAATAGACAGCTGTGCTGACGGTTATGGCAAAAACTCAAGTATGGTAACGATGTATGTGAATAGTTTTGCATGCACAGTGGTTATGATGTAAATTATTTTGCAAACTGGCCCTGTTTGTAAGTTCACAATGCTTGATGTAAAAAGAAAAAGCAGTGGCAGCAATTCATGCAGTTTTCTTAATGATATTTCCCTGTGTCTTACCAGTTTCATGATCTGGAACACAATGATGGGTACATCTATATTAAGTATTCCGTGGGGAATAAAACAGGTAAGGTAACTTGCTTATTTTATTTAAAAAATAATTGCACCATAATGAAGAAGTAGTTTGGTTTTGCTAATGTGCTGAGTAATGTTCTTCCTTTTTTAAAAAAACAGGCAGGATTTACCGCTGGAATTGTTATTATTTTATTTATGGGCCTCTTGACCCTTTACTGCTGCTACAGAGTTCTGAAATCAAGGACAACAATATGTAAGTATGCGTTTCAGCACTATATCCATGTTGATGGTTCTTCAAGGAATCCCCATGCATTGTAAAGGATTATAGGGCATGTTCAAAAGTGCGCTGTCCAAGAGGCATACTGGTCATAGACCTGTTGGGCTTCACTGTCACTCCCATGTGAACTAAGAGTAGGGACCCAGAGACCTGCCAGTGACCCTGCTGTGAGGGGCTGTGGCTCAGTGGTAGAGCACCTGTTTGGCAGGCAGAAGGTCCCAGGTTGAGTTCCCAGCATCTCCAGTTAAAAGAATCAGGCAGTAGGTGATGTGAAAGGTTGTAGTCTCTGGACACCTGCTGCCAGTGTGAGTAGGCAATACTGACTTTGATGGAGCCAGTGGTCTGATTCAGTATAAGGCAGCTTCATGTGCTCATGCTTTGGGTTTAAGTAATGGATCTCTGCATCTTCTTTGCATAAGGACAGATTGCCTTCTCTGTCTTGCGTGGTTCTTGAAGCCCCACAGGACGTAAGATGGAAAGAAACAACCACGTGAAATAAATCATTTTTGTCTGTGACAGTAGAAAACTAGTATCCTGATCACAATTAACTCTTCAAAATAGAGACAAACTTATCAGTATCAATTTTTTAAATAATCTCTCTCCCTCTCGCTGTCATGTTTTTATGAAAGCTGATTTGAATTTTATATGGTGAATTAACCATAACTAAAACTATTCCATGGTTATCTAAGGTTCTTCATCTTTACTGCCCCAACTTCCCGAGTTTTAACTGCTGAAATTAAAATCTTAGTTTTTTAATTGGAACAGTGTCTGTAGCAGTCTTCATGAGATGCTGCAAGGCTATTTTATTTAACGGCTTTTAATGGGGTGTAGGCGGCTGCCGTTTTTAGGAAAGGTGTTATTTGGGAGCGTTTATTGTATATTTTAATTTTGAGTTTGTATATGGGCTATAATTATTTGACTATGCTGTGTGGTTCTCAGGAACTGTTCCGGGCAACCCCTCTTCAGAACCCACAATATATGCTATACTCTCCACTCTGTGTGCCATCTATGTGTGAAGTGCACTTTAGTGTTACTCATGGCTGGGCCTTTTCTGTTAAGGCACCAGGGTTGTGGATTTCTATCAGTGTTAGTTTCTCCTAGATTTTAAGATAAAAGCGAAGACATTTTTCAGTATCTACAAGCTTTCCTTTAACTACAGATGGTAGTTGATTCCCCACTCCTCCACTTGCACCTGGCTGGATGACCTTGGGCAAGCCATAACTCTGGCACAGCTGTTCTTGAAAAAGAGCAGTTTCTGTCAAGAGTTCTCTCAGCCCCAGCTACCTCACAGGGTGTCGGTTGTGGGGAGGGGAGGGGAAAGGAGTTTGTAAGCCGCTCTGAGACACCTTTGGGTAGTGAAGGGCGGGGTATAAATCCAATCTCTTCTCTTCTTCTTCTCTTCTATATTGTGTATTGGGTATTTTTTATTTTGTCATTGGGTGTCGATCATTTAAAGTAATCATTAGTACAAAGTAGACAGGCATCAATTTAATGAACTATTTAAACTGATCTAATCACACGAGAGAAGAAAGGACTGAACTGACTTAAATTTAATTATTTGTTTCAAGGTGTTTGCCATACACTCAGGGTTTTCAACTTTGATTGCTTGCACATCTATGAAGTGTTTGCTGCTTTAATTTGTGCCAACTGCCTTACGAAGATATTTTTAATTATCTCTTGTGCATTATTAGAATATTGTTAATCATGCATAGCTATCTTGAGTTATGCCTATTGAGAAAACATATTACCTATTGAAATTAGCATAGGATGAGATTAATATAATTGGGTATTAACTTTATGCTTGATGGATGCCGTTCAACTATTATTGTTTCAGCTTCAACAGATGCTTCAGCCTGGGAATTCCCAGATGTTTGCCAGTATTATTTTGGATCCTTTGGTCAGTGGTCCAGTCTTTTATTTTCATTAGTGTCTCTTATTGGAGCCATGGTGGTTTACTGGGTGCTCATGTCCAATTTCCTTTTCAACACAGGAAAGTTTATTTACAGTAAGTGTAATTTTGTAAAATAATTGCTTGATAACGGAGCCTTGGCTTCCATACTTGACAAAATGCTATATAAAAGTCTGTAATAAAATTGATGACTACATTTGATTCTAGTTATGTATGTGTTTGAATGAGTAAGTAGCTGTTTCCAGAGCTTGAAAAATGCTTTGAACTCTTAAGCACCAGCATTATTTGCAGGTGGGGAGAATCCTGTGTTTAGGTGCCAGCTGTCGCAGGGCTGGAAAATTTGCAAACTCCTAAGTGCCAGCAGCAACCAGAACAGCTGAAGTACCTGGATTTGCCTTGTAACACTTCTTTTTTTCAACATGCATTCTAATATTTCTGCATTTTAATATGTATGCTGAAGTAACGTTCTAAAAGAACGTTACCTTGCTTCATTATAAGGGACAAACAGCATCTCAGGCCTTGTAAGTCAGCTGCATGTTCATTTTGGCTTCCCATATTTTCCGTCTACACCAGCATCGCCATTTGCACTGCAGCGTGGCTGTGCTGTTACATAAAATACAGTAGCACTTTGATAGACCAACAAGATTTTGGAGGCATAATCTTTCAAGAGTCACAGGTCCCACAAAATGACTCTCAAAAGCTTCTACCCTGAAAATCTTGTTGGTCTCTAAGCTGCTACTGGACTTTAATCTAGCCTCCTCTACTGCAGACCAACAATTTTTTTTAAAAATTGAATTTATAATCAACATCACATCACCTGTGTATCTACATATACTCATGTAATACAACTCATGAAAGCTAATCGTACAATCTACCGATATATTCTTTATGACCAACAAGCTTTTTGATGACGCATTTTGAGTGCATATATTTAGAAGGCTGTGATCCTGAAACATAAAATACTGTTAGGTTTTTATAGCTTTTTGCTGCTAATTATGTCTTTGTCCTCTCTGTTCTTTATCTGGTGACACGACATATCAGAATCCAAAATATTCCAGTCTTTCATTGGCTCCATGATGAACCATGGGGACTATGGAATGGATCCTGTGGGTCCATACGACTAATAGTGATGTAGTCCTGTATTGAAAAGATCCTTCCACTGATACAGGGGACGTATCTGCTGTGGGAAGAACATTCTGGGTCAGAGGAAGGCTCCTTATTTTGGAGGACAGTGCTGCTGTTAACAGAGTGAATCTGGGGCTAGGGATGCCAGCCTCCAGGTGGGTCCTGGGGATCCCCTGGAATTACAGCTCATCTCCAGACCACAGAGATCAGTTCTCCCAAAGAAAATGGATTATTTGGAAGGGGGACTCTATGGTGTTGTACCCCACTGAGGTTCCTGTCCTCCCCAAATCTCTTGGAGTTTCCCAACTTGGATCTGGCGACCCTACCCTCCCACCCCCCACCAGGTCCCACCTGGCAACCCTATCTGGGGCTTATGTTTGGAATTCACACACTGATCAGGGAGCCAGCAGTTTGTTTGTTTTTTAAATTCCTTCCTGCTTAACAAGCCCTATCAGTTACCTTTGCAGCATCTTTTTATGTATCCTTGTTGCCACTGTGTACCTTTGCAAGACCATCATGAGGTGCTTGTTTCATTGCAGGAGGATTTTGCAAAAAATAGAACCTAGTCTTAGCAGAAAATAAGCCTCCTGTCCAATGATCAAAAGCTACTAATGTCTAAACCGCGTCTGTTGTGTGCTTAAGCACTCGTCTAAATATAAAAAAGCTCTATAGGCTTGCATATATATGATGCAAGTGTGGCAAAGTGGTGAAAATCTCAGCTAACTTAATTGAATACAATTTGCCAACAGACTTTTCTTGAACTGTGTGAATTAATGAAGATAAAATCACTGCATATTCTGAAGCACTGGGGGGGGGGGAGGACACCATTGTCTGTTTGGCACTCCAAAGATGGTATTAAATTCTCCAACAAAGGATTTTTTAAAATGTGACATTTGTTCAGTACACTTGGAAGCAAACACATCTTAAGAAATGAGAAGATCTTGACCCCACTCTATGGCAAAATAATCAAAGGGCATATAACTCTTAGTTATCCCTGTGTCAGTTTGAGAAACAGAGTCTGTGTTCTATGACATCATCGGACTACTTTCTCCCGTAGGGAAAGAACTCCTGGTCAACAGCCAGTAGTGTCTGACTATAATGTAGCAAAATTCATACTGACATCAAGACTGTCTCCTTCAGCAAGCCAGGGTTCTTTTTAAAGGATGCCAAAGGATCTTTTAAAGCTTTTTCTCATGGTATAAAACCCTGAACAGTTCAGATTTCATCAGACATCACAAACCACTAATATCCTGTGTTCCTTTGTGCCCCAGAAACTCTGCTTAAGCAGTGACTAAGCATGGGAATGAATGTATTAGATCAGCATTACTCAAGAGCATTGTAATTAATTCGGGGGGGGACATGTATTAAAATATGTTGATTTTGTACAGACATAGCAAAGGTGATCTCTTAACTACAGTTAAGAGATTGGTAGTGGGTTATGACCAAGAGAGGAGTACACTATGGGAGTTTGTTTGTAACTGATCTTTTCCTGACTATTCTTGGGTGAAGCAAATAACTAAACAGCTTGCCATGTAGAAGACCTGTTATAAAACAGGCAATTTAGTCATAGCCTGTGCATCTGTTTATTCAATTAACAGTCTTTTAAATAAAGTAGTAACATATATTAAGGAACAGTGACTTGGATACAGACTAGCTTTTTTGCGAGTGCAAGGATTTCTACCCTCCCCTTCAAAACACCCTCTGGGCTACTGCCGGGGGGGGGGGGGAATCATGCACCCTCCGTGAATATCTTTGCACTTGCAGAAATGCTAGTCTTGACCTAAGCCATGAATTCTAGGGGAACGCTTGAATGTGGTAGTGTCTTGGAAGTGATTTAAATATTGTGAAAACATAACGCAAGTTGCTTATTTTTATTCTCAGTAAAAATAGTCCATAAAGCACAACTTCATATAAAAATTTTCCAGTGATTTACCCAATGCAAAAATTACACTGGTTTCTCTTTTTATTGTCCTCTATTTAACCATCATTCTGGAAAGAATTAATTGTTAGTTTGATTAAACAGGTAACCTATTGTACCATTGCAGACATTTTAGAATGGTTTTCTAAGCTCCCTAGACCGGTTTAGTTGGGATGGGTTTTAAAATGATCAGAATCCTAAACTTAAACACACTTACTTGTAAGTAAGTCTCAAATGCTTTTGGTAGATACTGCTGCCAGTTAGGTGTAATTAGAGCTCTGAAGTGGATTGTGCTGTTAGGCTGCAGTCACACTGGAGGCTTGCTGTGATCTGCGCTTGCCCCTAATTATAGACCCACCAGAGTAGACCCACCAGACAGCACACCCTGGGGCAGTTTCTCTACATGCTTGTCTGGTGGTCAGGCATTCATATTACTGCAGCGCCTCAACCATGGAGCATGCAGTCCAGTTGTTTTGTTTTAAATGCAGACGGGTACATGCATGTATGCACCCATGCGCATATAGGCAAGAACTCAAAAAAAAAAAAAAACAGTGGCGGAAACGGATCTGCGGGTTCAGACTTCCCTTCTGGGTTCCTTTTGCGGTGGGAGAGTTCACGCATCTGGGAAAGCGGAGTGGAAGCGCTGGCATCCATTAGTACTGGACTTCCCCTGGTGCCTGATTCCTCCAATTCCAAAGTAGGGCTACAAGGGGTGCTGATGACTGCGGCATGGAAGGCAGATGTTGTCATCTGATCGTGCTCTTTAAATCCACAAAGGTAACGCTACTATATCGCGGCAAACAGCTGGTGTGACTGTAGCCTTACTTTGTGGTAGCAGTGAGACAAACATTTGTTTTAAGCCATTTATCCAGCAGATGGCAATGCAATTCATTGCAAGAAGGAAAGAAAGTTAGAGAGGGCTGCTGCCTTTGTACAATCCCTGGAGTATTTGTTTTCTTCAATTGAGTTTTTCTTTCTAAGTGTCTTGAGCTATCACAGAACTCATTCTCTTTCTATAAAGATTTTGCCTCTTAATAGACGCAGAGATACATCTGATAATGTAGTGGCAACAAACAAATGGATCTGAAACAGGCATAGCCAGAGACAGGATCAGAAAGAAGTGTTTGAAAGGCCCACTGAACCACTGACATGGACTTCCTGGTGAGGTGGATGAGCCAGTGTGGTAGAGCTGTTGGCACTGGGATAGGCCTGGGGAGACTGTGGTTCAGTTCCCTGCTCATTAGGGTTGCCAAGCTCCAGAATTACAGTGGACATTAGACCTAGGCTATCGTGCTCTTTCTCCAGGAATTTCCCAACCTGTAGTTGGCAACCCTGTGCTCAACCATGAACCTTCACTGGCTAACTCTGCACTGGCCACCAGCTACTAGTCCACACTAGTGCTCTCTACCACTTTTGAGTATAATGTTGCTATAACTTCCCAAGGTTTGGCAATATTGCCTCTGATACTTGCATACGGGGGGGGGGGTTGTTGGGCCTAGGGAAGTCAGTCTAGCAACTGAGGACGTAGTCACCATGTTGTATGTCGGCTTGTATTGTGTTTGCATCAGAAGTTTACATTTGAGGAAGACAACTGCAGGATGGAGCACCCCGAAGATATTTACTTTCTTCTTCTTTTTTTAGATTATGTCCATCATATTAATGTTACAGATATTATTCCCGGTACAAATGGGACTGATAAAGGTAAGGAAAGCACAAAGTTATATTTCTTATCCTCCGAATGTTCTGATATAATTGTCAAGAAACCTTCCTGGTCAAAACTTTAAAAAATTGGGCACGCTTTTTCCACTAATGAGCTTGTGCTTAGTGAATGTTTAGGTTGGAATGAAAAAAAAAGAAGGAAAGGTTGGAACAAAAAGTGGCGGGAAACACAACTGGATCACAACTGGATCACACTAGTGGTCCCCTCCTATGCATCCTTTTTTACATCACCAGAAACCTGACCTGGAGGACCAGTAAGCAGGGCATAGAGGCCAAGTCCTCCCCCAGATATTGCATCCTATGACTAGTATTTAGCGGTTCACTGTCCCAGAAGTTCAGGTTCCTATAAGTCCTAATGGCTAGTACCCATTGATTCTCCATAAATCTGTCTTTCTCCCTTTTAAAGCTCTCTGTGGTAACAGCCATCACTGCATCCATAGGCAGTGAATTCCACAATTTTAATTACTCATTGAGTAAAGAAGTATATTTTTTTTGTCTCTCTGGAATCTATTCCCCATCAACTTGATTGGGTGAGTTCTAACACAATGGGAGAAGGTGTGCTTTGAGTGCTTGTCATAAAAGCAGGTGTATAAATACTCCAAACCGGAAGTCCTAGATCAGGCACTATAAGCCCATGGCTGGTTGGCTTAGGCTGAGCCGGATGAAATTGAATCTGACAAAGACGGAGTTCCTGTGCTTGAGTCGCGGCGGTCCGGGGGTAGGGTTCCTGCTCCTGACCTTCGATGGGGCACCATTGGCGCCAGCGCCAGAGGTTAGGAGTTTGGGGGTGCTCCTGGATGCCTTCTTAACAATGGAGGCCCAGGTTGCAGCCACTGCCAAGTCAGCCTTTTACCATCTTCGGCTGATAAGTCAGTTGGCTCCCTTCCTCGAACGTGGCAACTTGGCAATAGTGATCCATGCGATGGTCACCTCAAGATTGGATTACTGTAATGCCCTCTACATAGGGCTGCCCTTGGTGCAAATCTGGAAGCTACAGCTGGTGCAAAACGCCGCGGCCAGCCTGTGCTAAAGGCGTTGCACTGGCTGCCTATAAGATACCAGATTCGCGCCAAGGTGCTGGTTCTTACCTATAAAGCCCTTTATGGCCAGGGTCTGACATACTTGAGGGACTGCCTTTCCCCATATATACCCCGGAGAGTACTGCGTTCAGGGACCCAGAACCGACTGGTCCTCCCGAGTATTAAGGAGGCCAGATTGGCAACAGCTAGGGCCAGGGCCTTTTTGGTGGAGGCTCTACTCTGGTGGAATGAGCTCCCAGAGGAGATCAGGGCCCTGCGGGACCTTTTACAGTTCTGCAGGGCCTGCAAAACGGAGCTTTTTCTCTCTCAGCCAGGCTTTTGGAGCCGCCACCACCACCACCATTACCACCACCACTATCACCGCTATGACAACTGCAACCACTGGTGGTGCTATTACTAACAACTGACTGCCATGGTGGAAGCCCTGAGCCATAGGTCCTTGTGACTATTGCCTGGTCCAGGCCTTTCCCTCTTTTCTACAACCAAAACTGACCAATAGAATCTTAGGTAATATCAGGAATGCTAGCACTTTAATATTGTTGATTTTAATACTGTTTTATATTATTGTATTATTTATTAATGTGATGAACTGAGTTTTATGTATCACAAAATTTTATCCTAGGCTGAAATGGGCGGGATAGGAATCGTAGTAGTAGTAGTAGTAGTAGTAGTAGTAATAGAAAAGATTTTCCCTGTCTACTTTCTCCAACCTGTGCATAATTTTGTTCATGCCTCCCTTCACCTCTTAGGCTTTTATTCTGTGTGTACAACTAAATGGGTCTCACACTTCAGAATAAAGATACAGTTTATGTGGGAGTATGATATCTGCAGGTTCTGGAAACTTATAATGATTTCAGGTGATGTCACTACATGTCATTTGTATAGTCCTCAATTCAAGTTTGCACCAGACTGCTTTGCGTAAAGGTATAACTGCTTCCCCCAATCCCGGGAAAAGTCCCATGTGCATTTTCAGAAGAATTATCACCCGTCTTTCAAAATACTCCTATTATGTAGACAATGGAGAACAAACAGACTGGCAAAACTAATGCTGGTGGCTGAGTCACAGCCATTGACCTTTCAGAAGCACAAGCAATCGCTGTGTGAAGCTTTGTATCTCCGGGCATTGTAACTGGGTGGGCACTCGGCCAGCGTGGGATGAAAAGAGTGGCATAAGGCACATTCCATGGAAGACACAGCTAGGCCATGCTCTGCAAATCAATCATGCCTGTTTACTGCAAACAGCTGCTTGTACCAGATTTAAATAGAGAAAGGCAGGGAGGGGTGACATCGTACCACAGAGGTCAGTGACTAAGGCTCAGGCTGAGACAGCAGTAGTTTTGAATGCTTTTAAAAGGGAAATAACAGTGTGTGTGGTTTTCGGGGAGGCTTCCAATTTAATGAACAAAAGAGGTGTGTAGGAGCTTGCTCGCACCTGCTCCTTAGCTCTGGAGCCTTTAAGAGATAAGTGAAAGCTATGATTCTGTCCAGAGTCTCATTGACAAGGGAGCCAGTTTGGTGTAGTGGTTAAGTGCGCGGACTGTAATCTGGGAGAACCAGGTTTGGTTCCCCACTCCTCCACTTGCAGCGGCTGGATGACCTTGGTCAAGCCATAGTTCTGTCAGAACTGTCCTTGAAAGAGCAGTTCTCTCAGAGCTCTCTCAGCCCCCTCCCCCCCCCACCTCACAGGGAGTCTGTTGTGGGGAGGCGAAGGGAAAGGAGTTTGTAAGCCGCTCTGAGACTTTGAGTGAAGGGCAGGGTTTAAATCCAAACTCCTCTTCTTCTTTCGCCTATGCATCAGCCTCTCCACTGTAGTGATTGTATTCATCTGATTTCTCTCCACTGTAGTGATTGTATTCATCTGATTTCCCTTTGTGTTCCTAGAACTAAATTTCTGCTTTCTTTTTGGTTTTACAGTAATTTGTCCAGGTGACCCTGGTCATGAAGTACCAGGAAACAAAACTCTGATGTTTCTTTCTACCAGAGATTCGGGATTTGAGGCATTTGAAGTATGGTGGAGCAGGTCAAAAACTGTCCCACTGTACTTGATCGCTGTTCTTCTGCCTCTGTTGAATTTTAAGTCTCCGTCTTTCTTTGCCAAGTTCAACATCTTAGGTAAGCAAGAACATTCTTAGAGATTACCTTACTCTATAGAGGGAAAAAATGTGTGGCAGTCCACCATAAAAACAAATTTCTTCTTGGATTCCTACAGTTTTGGTTTCATCAATTTCTCCAACATGTCACTTGCAATGTTTCTCTGTGATCTTACTTTTCATAATACCAAAAGAAGTCGGTCAGCTATCTGTCGATGTGTGTACTATACTATGAGTAGCAGGCTTCAAGCTACCCGCTAGCCAGCTCTGGGCTGGCCTTGCTAAATTCTGAGAGACATAAGTAATATGCTGTTGGTTCTTAATGGCAGGTTTTTAATCTCTTTGCCAAGTTCAACATCTTAGGTAAGAAAGAACATTCTTAGAGATTATCTTACTCTATAGAGGGGGAAAATGTGTGACAGTCCATCATAAAAACAAATTTCTTCTTGGATCCCTACAGTTTTGGTTTCATCAATTTCTCCAACATGTCACCTGCAATGTTTCTCTGTGCTCTTACTTTTCATAATACCAAAAGAAGTCAGTCAGCTATCTGTCGATGTGTGTACTATACTATGAGTAGCAGGCTTCAAGCTACCCGCTCTGCTCTGGAGCCATCCTTCCTGCGCTAAGGCAAAAATGTGTGAGCCGGAGGCTAAAAAACTGTGAGCTAGCTCACACTAACTCAGCTTAGAGGGAACACTGCTCCCAGGTTCTCAGTCCATCACCAATCCCGGACTAAGGGGCGGAGGGGAGGAGTGGCATTGTTCATTCAGGAGGATTACACCTTCAGAGCGCTCCTGCTGCCGAGGCTCATGGGCATAGAGTGTGCCGGCTTTGTATGGGAAGCCGGGGAGAGTTTGGCTGTCTGGCTGGTGTACCGTCCGCCCAACGCACCGGCTAGCAGCCTGTCATCCCTGCTGGAGGTCGTATCAGGATGGGCACTGGAGCACCCTATGCTGTTAGTCTTGGGTGACTTCAGTGTCCACGCCGATGACGCGACCTCCACGCAGGCAATGGATCGGGTGTTGTCCATGGCAGCGCTAGGACTCTCCCAATGCACAGAACAGGGCACGCGCTCGATTTGATCTTCGCGGCAGGGGTTACAGTGGACCAGATTACGGCTAGGGCCGTTCCATGGTCAGACCTCCATGTTCTGAAGGCCCGTGTGAATGTGCCACCCCGACCCTGTTTGGCTTGCGAGCGTATGTATAACCTAAATATTATCAAAAATACAAGTATTTATTTTTCAAACGGTTAAAAACATTTATGAGCCCACCTGTAGCCTCATTACAGCATAAAAATGCAATGTATACAAAAGGGGAACTATTATGACCTGACGCATTTTGGCCCAAATCAGCCTTTTTCGATGGTCAAGCAATGTCTGTGCATTGAGGCTCATGATACAATAGTAAAACATACAAAAGCAATATACAGGTTGATATAGAACCAAGAAAGGAGTTTAACAATCAAGAATAGATTACACAAGGCGCAAGAATGTTTGTGAGGCCTCCTTGAGTCTGGCCTTGTGCTTCAGTCAATTGCATACATGCTGAGTGGTGTTTCTTATTGTATGCCTTCCAGTTTTGGTCCAGAAAGTCCAGGTGCCAATGACTGATCAAAGCCAATGTACCATAGTATGCTCATGGTTCCTCCAGAGGAGGGGCAAAAGAAGCAGGGGCCTGGGCAGCTGAGCTTCTAGTTGCAGGCTGGTTCCTGCCCACCTCACACTGGGTGAGGGCCACCCCTTGCTTGACCCTAGCAGGGCACAGCAGTTCTGGAACCCCATTCTAAACTTCCACCCAGGGCCTCAGAATCGCTAAGACTGTCCTTCAGGGCAATTTGTCCTCCAAATACAATGTTATTTTCTGTGGGCTAAGAAAATTCACCTTGCAAAATCTGATGAAACCTTGCTATTTAGAATGTTTGCTAATTTTTTGTTTCCCCTCAAATATAAATCATTAGTTCAGCCATAAAAATCAAGCATGCTGCATGACATAATTTTCTTTCTTCCCAATATCCTTCTCCATGGCCACATTCAAGCACTGTGACAACCTCGGTTTGTTTGTGACCAGTATCCTCCCTTTCTCCTTTTGCACAGAGCAAGGCTGAAAGCTTCTGAGGGGTTGGGAAGCCTTGAATTAAGACCCAGTTGGCTGTGATGTCAGAGTGCAGGTAGCCTTGACAACCTGAAGTGTGTTTCCTCCACCCCAATGGGGGTTCTAAATTTCAATTTGATCCCTCTTCAGAACCACAGTTTGAAGAAAGGAAACAAACTGTAGTATGTGCAGACCATCTGCATTTCACTGTCATGGCAAACTGGAGGTTGATTTCAGTTGCACTCAGTGTGTGAAGGGAGGAGGGAAGGGAGCGCAAGAGCATGACAAAAAGTTTGTACTCAATTTTATTACAGGAGTTTTCCGAACACAGTTGGTTTTGTGTGGTTTCCCCACTGCTGCTGAAGCTGCCATTACAATGCAGTAGCAACAGAGCTTCCACATCGCAGGTTTCCTCATAGGGCACCCTGCCCTAGTCTCCCAGGAGTGGTCACTGAAACCCACCCTGTGCCATCACAGGGTTTCCCCCCACCCCCAGTTTTCTTTTGTTTTAAGTAAGTTTCTGGTGCTTTTTGTTGCAGTGATAAGCCTTTCCTCTTACATATCTGCAATGAAAGAGGCTAGAGACTTTTAAAAATAAAAGCTGGGAGTTCAGAGAACCTGATACACAAATTGTTATAACAATATTCCATTGCTGATGGGGAAAGACAAAAAGTCCTTCTTTCAGTGTGTGTGTGTGGGGTGGGGAATGGCTGCTATGAGGATGGGCTGGGAGAATGGTTGCCGTGTGGGGATTGAGAAAATCCAAACTTTCCCACCTACACAGCAGCCATCCAGGCTTTCCTGCAATCTTTACCAAAACTTTGCAGCAAAGCAGGTCTGGAAAAGATCAAATCCAGGGAAATCCTGGGAGGTGCATGAAGATGCTGTTGGGAAGCAGGGAAATTGCCTGCTCCCCAACAGCATTGAAGCCAGGTAGGGTTGCCAACCTCCAGGCGGGAGAGGAGATTCTCCCAGAATTACAACTGATTTCCAGGCAACAGAGATCAATTCCCCTGAAGAAAATGGCTTCTCTGGAAGGTGGACTCTGGTGTTACAGCCCAGATGTCCCTCCCCAAAGTCTGCCCTCTCTAGGCTTCACCCCTAAATCTCCAGGAATTTCCCGACCCAGAGTTGACAACCATAACTCCAGGGCATATAACCCATATGGAAAAGCTCACAGGCAAAAGCTTTGTTGTGATTATGTGAATGCTGCCCTTTTGTGTGCCCAGTTGAATATAATCTAAAATGACTTCCTTTCAGTAGCATATTCTCTGAGCTGATTTACAAGTGAAAACAAAACATGTAATAAAAAGGGAAGGGAGGAGGGAAAGAGTGGATGGAAGGAATATGGACTGTATCCTTAAAAAGTATGTATGGTAAGGAGCCATTTGGGTTTTAGTGTGGTATCAGCCACAGTCTGTATCTTACGGTGATCAGAACAACTTTCTGCCACAGCTTGCCCTAAATGTATCTTTTTAAATATAACTCTCTCCACTACAGGTACAGTTTCAGTCGTCTATCTCGTTTTCCTTGTTACTCTGAAAGCTGCACGTTTGGGGTTTCATTTACAATTCCACTGGATTGAGGAGAGCACGTATTTTGTGCCAGGTAAAATACTTCCCACATTTTTTAAAAAATTAACTCTTTAAAATGTAAACTGTTTGCTTTTTCAATAGGAGTTTAATTAATGGCTAATTCAAAGTTATCCTCATATATTTTTCATCTTCTTGTTCATAGAATCTTAGCTTTGCTACTTCAGGGATGCTATTTTTAAAGTAATGTCACTAGATAACCTTTAGTATAAATGACAAGAAGTCAGGATTACTTGGAGCAGTGGGGAGAACGTTCATTGAATGTTGTCACGTGCAGCTGTAAGCGGAGGTGACCAGCGAAACAAAATGCTTAATCATGTTGTACAATCACCTTCCTTGCGCATTTCAAAGGAAGCCTTTTAAGATGGAGGTTACACCTACAGGAGCAAGAGATTTTTCTGTGTTGGGAACATCCTGCTAATTTAGGGATTCAAACCAGATTACCCACCGAAAGCCTTCCATAATCCAGCCTAAACCTATTGATATCAGAGTGCTTAGACTGGAGCGGCTCTGCGTAGGATTGCACTGCACTGTGGGTGAGTGAAGCTAAAGGAAGACAGGCAATGGTTGTGAATAGAGAGGATGCTTCTGCAGAAATGAGAGGAACGACTTGGTTGAGATCTACATACAACTGTAACATTCTTCATGGCATATTCCTGACTGATCCCAGTTCTAGCTGCTGTGTCTAGGGTTTGGTTGATCAAATTAGCAATTACACAAAATGTTCTACACATGTAGGAAGTAGTAGTATTTATTGGTATGGTCAGTGACTAGAGTAGTTAAACAACGAATAATTAACAGTATTTCCACAGTACAATCAATTACAACTCAGAAGGAGATGGTATAACATAGTGGTAAAGAGAATATATTGTGATCTGTGAGGTGGGTAGTTCGACTCTCAGACATGAGTATGTTAGGTGGCCTTTGGCAAGTTGCTCTCTTTCAACCCCAAGCTACCTTTCCTCATCTGATATATATACAGACTACCTTGTGGTGTTACCAATTACAACAAGATAGTATGTGTGAATTTATTGATAAAAACCTTTTACTCCTCCCCCAAAGACTCAAAAAAATATCATAAATCAACATTAGCAGTCAACAAAATTTTAAAATCCAGGTTGTGGGAATCATACACCAAGCTGCTAAGTTTATAACAAAAAGCGCTCTTAGACAAAAGTGCTGCCAGGAGGGAGAAAAAAAATTCCTGGCCCCTTGGTCCTTCTGGGGGGGGGGGGGTCATGGAACCGGGTGAGTCACATGAGTTGGTTTAATGTCATGTCTAAGTGTCATGAAGAGGGCAGAAGGAATCTTCGGAGGCCTGTGGTGGCCCTTCAGCAGCCCTGATGGGAAGATCTATACAGATGCTAAACTTCCTGCTTTCCTTCCCCAAAAGACCCAAAAGCGGCTCATAACAGCAAAAAAAAGGTACAATATAAATAATCCAACAAAGAACAAAACACCAAAGAACATCTAGGGCTAGTTCAGGATTCTGTAGCTGGTTTTCTTTCAAAGGTACCAGTTGCAAACTGTGGGTTATAAGCCAGAGGGCCATGAAATGTTGCCCACGACTCACACCACTGGCCATAGCCAGATTTTATAGGTACTTGCTGCAGGAAGGAGAAATGTTGTGCAGCTTGTTAGCAGTTCCTCTTTTTGTGGAAGAACTTGCCCAGATGTGAAGAAATCTTCCAGTAGGACAGAGTACCAGGTCTGACAGACCCCCAAATGGCTTCAGAATAGAATAGAATTTGGATTCCCTGCTGAAATTCTGTGTCTTGTTTGACTGAATGACTCTTCCTCATTGCTAGCACCATGAACTTGTGGTGGCACCACTAGAATGCTTTTAAGAAGACTCTTTGTTTTTCTTTCTGAGAGAGGCTCCATAATAAGGCATCAGGGACAGCTTCTTCCAGCAATTCTGTTTCATCTGGTCTGTGATTAGATTACCCTTTTCGACTTCCTCTGCTTCTTGGGGAATCAGCCGCTAATTTTTTAAATATGAAGCTGAGGGACTTGGTACAATTTTCCCCAAGCAGGTTTCGCAATTCCTTCCCAATAGTACATATCACATAAGCCAAACAGTCTTGCAGGTCTCAGAGTCATTAAACTTTGCCATAAATGTGAAGGGAGCTGCCTAGGGCCTAGTTCTGGTATAATTCTTTCCTCTGCCGAACTATGCAGTGTGGGAAATATTCTGGCACGAGAAATCCATGTCGGGAGTTCTGTTCCAGCATTGCCATCAGCATGTGGCCTTGCTAAAAGTTGCTCTGGATCACATCGCTGGAGGAATGTTTAAAAATACACCAGTTGAAAAAACAGCCTTTGCAGGTAGCTCAGAGGCATTCTGGGGCTGATTTTGGCCAGCATCTTTGCCTGTCTCAAAGTCTTATTCAGAGTGATCCCAGCCCAAACAATTATGAAATCTGTTTTGACTCTGCTGACAGATTGGCACAGTTGGAAAGGGTTCTTGTTCTCATACTGCCTCACTCCTCTGCTTTAAGCATCCCAGTTATGATTAAGGAAATGATGTATGGTCTTGCCCTGCAGTGATCAGGTCCTAGGTAGCGCAAGGAGGTGGCACGGTATGAAACAGGAGAGCCACTCCCACCCCAAAAATGAGACCCTGTGTGTAAGATAAGGAACTCTGTGCTCATATACCCTGGCCATTCCAACTCCTTTCAGTGTTCTGGTTAAATCTAGACACTAACCGGGAAGGGGCAAAGGGTATATGACTGTGCCTGCTGCACATTGTAGAGCGCATGCTGTGTTTGCTGGAACAGCTGGCTGGGACAAAAGCAATCCTGACCATTTCCCAGAGTGAATTTGGGGCAACTGAAGTGGCAGCTGCTGTTGAGGGCAAGAGACAGACCTGCCCGGCCTTCCAACAGGCTTCTTTAGTAGTACAGCATACACATTTGACGCAGTACTGGAATCCTTCTCTAACCAGTTGGTTCTGTATCTTCTGTTTCCCTCCCTCCAAATATAGGACAATGTCAAAAGAGGCCCTTTCATTGCATGCAAATTGTGGCACGGCACAGCTGTTTGCACGATGCGGTTCTCAGCACGAATCTGGCATCTGTCTCCCCACTAATGTGATGTGGCTTACTCCGATTTGGAGACAACGCCGAATTGCCGTGGGCCAGCCAAAATAGTTTGTGGGTCACAGTCATCTGTTAGGCTGTTTGCTTACAAAAGCTGGGGAGCAGTCCTATCCTAAGTAGGTCTACTCAGAATCGTGCTCATGTCTGTTCAGTGGGGCTCACTACCAGGGAAGCTGTCTTAGGACTGCACTGCCTACAGTAGTATAGCAACTGAGAGCTTGGTAGTAGTGGAGGTGTGTGAGCTGGGGAGCCTGCAGTTCAAATCTTTACCTGCTATGAATTTACTTGGTGGCTCTAAGCTACCCGTTTTCTCAGCCTTGCATTTTAGAGGTTGAAACCTCCATTTTATGTAAATACACCTTATGTGATGCTGGAGGTGGAAGGAGCTGCAGTGTGGCATGGCTGAGACAATAAGAAATTATTTCTGACCCGTATATCTTTCCTGAAGAATTGGACTTGTTGGGTTTCCTGTGAAATGACAGATAAAATGATGATGAGAAACAGACAAGCTACAAAAACGTCCCAGTATTGTTTGCCCATTATATCATACTAGGAAAAAGGTCTGTTGTGGAAATAAATACAACGGCCTCTAGAAAGAGGCTCTGGGCGGGTGCCCCGGCCTTAGACACTCAGTGTCAATTTGCTGTGGTGACCTCAGCAGGGTATAATGACACCGAGTCCACCATTTTCTCCAGAGGAACTGATCTCTGCTACCTAAAGAACAGTCGTAATTTTGAGTGATCTCCAGCCCTCACCTGGAGATTGGCAACGATGGTTCCCCAGAAGGGAACAGTTGGTTTGGAGGTGGAGTCTATGGCTTTGTACCTGTCCGAGGTCCCACGCCCCCTGAAACCTCACCCTCTCCAGGCTCCATCCCTCACCTCTCCAGGAATTTCCCACCTGGAGTTGGCAACCCTATCTCCTTCCCAGCCAATCATCAACCTACCTTTATTTCCCCCTCACTCTTCAGCTTTCCACCCCCCACACACCTGCAGCCTCTCCCGTGCTCTGAAGCCCTGACTGCTATGTCACATTGGCTGTCATACGGGGCCCACCTCAGCAGCATATAAGGATACAGAGCCCACCATTTTCTCCAGGGGAACTGATCTCTGCCATCTGGAAAGCAGTTGTAATTCTGAGTGATCTCCAGCCCTCACCTGGAGATTGGACACATTTTACCTTAGAACAGAAAACTGTTTAGAATGTTAGAGGCAAAAGCCAATGAAGTTGCATATGCAAACGACCTCTGTGTTCCGAGGCAAAGGCCAATGAGGCTGCATATGCAAATAACCTCTGTGTTCTGACTGGCTATGGGGGGGAGGGGAACAGCAAAATGTTTAGAATGTTGGAGGCAGGACTCAGGCAAAGCTGCCAGTGGATAGGGAGACCCTCTGAATGACAGATCAGAGAGTGAACTGATTTTGGAGTGTGTGGAATGTTCTAGAGAAGTGCCACCACCATTCGGCTTTTATTTATAAGGGAGATAATTATGTGTGCTTGGATCGTTAACTGTGTACACACAGCAAGGCTTTAGTACTGTTTGATATTCTCTGGTTTCTAGAGGTTGATGATATTCATAAACAAAGGTCATTTTGATTAGAAGACAGAGGGTTGCTGTTTTACAATAATGAAAAACTCATGTAAACTCGGAAGAAGTCCGCACCAAGGTTTAGGATTTGTGGTTTGGAAGAAACATTTTCCCCTCCTTTCCTAACCGCTATAACAATGTAATTAACAGCCTCGAAGCAAAAAAAAGTTTCCTAATCAATGGCTGATTTTTGTGGTAAACATCGTTTCCCATCTGTATGCTTGGCATTACAGGACAGGGGGGGAAATCTGGTTCAGTGACCTTGAATGGTACATACTCTTCTTAGCCAAATAGCAAGGGAGGACTGGGTCTGAAATAGACGTGGCAGCATCCCCAGGCAAAGCACTTGCTTGTGCATTCCAGATCGCCAGTAGCTGGCATCCTTACTGCACGCAACTGGAACGGCTCACAGTAAAAGCCTGCTTATATGTGATGGAGTGTGTGTGGAATGCTTGCAAGGGCTTTATTCGTGGCAGCTGTAACATCTGTTTTGGATCTCTCTCAGCTGATCTAAGAGAAGAGATCCATAGAGCTGTTCCATGACAGGCCTCCGGATGGCCTTCGTCAGAAAGCACTATTCTAATTTTATTGTTTACTGGCACACTTAATCTGTGAATGTTTATAAGTCTACATGGTTATCCAAAAGAGGGGGAATTATGCAATTCTGACGAATTGTTAGTGAACGTGAACAGATGTTAAGCCAACAACTGCATCTTGGTGAATTTAGATTTAACTTGTACAAGACCAGAGCTGCAAACACAGGGAAATTCGGCCTTGGTATGCTTTTAGATCGTGGGTGGGCAGTTGGCTGCATGTTCAAGAGCCATTGTTGAATGAAGCAGGATATTGCCATGTGTTTACCTATTTTTGTTAAAAAGAATACATTTAACTGTAATCTGGATGACCAATGTAGATGCCTGGGGGAGGGAGTGGGGGGGGGTGTTTCTGTGTTCTTGATTTCAGAACCTTCTCAGATGTACTTTCTCCCCTGTTAGCCTAAGTCTATATCAATATTCTTAGCTCAAAATTATTTCCACACACAAAAGATGCAGAGGTAATCTGGCCAATGGGGGAGGGGTGTGTGCTTTGCTGTATTTAAGTTCCAAAGTATTCTACATTATAATTTTGCAAGAAATGTGTTGGAGAGGGCACAGTTTTTAAAAATCTAACTCTTAACTGTCCCACCATTTTGCAGTCTCTTTTTTTAAAGTTGAGTTTGCCACTTTATCTCAGTGCCTGTTTGAGTGCTCCTGGGCTTGAATGAAACAACACGAGTGTGGTCATTATCCTGTTAATAAAAAGTGGATCATAATAGCCTAACTTAATCAAATGTTGCTGCTGTTTTGGAAGCAGGGTATAGGGCGGCTAGTGGATGTGGGGGTAGCATTGCCAGATCCAGGTTGGGAATCTCCTGGAGATTTGGGGCTGGAGTCTGGGGAAGACAGGGACCCCAGTGTGGTACAACGCCATAGAGTCCACCCTGCAAAGCAGGCATTTTCTCCAGGTGTCGAGAACTTTGGTTCACTCAAAATGGAGTCTGCTTTAGAAGTTTGGTTCAATCTGGCTGTGGCCTGCTTTTGTTAAAAATGTTGTCTTTAAGTCTCCTTAGTTCACACAGTCGTGCTGCAGAACAGTGTCTATCTCTCTTCTGCAGAAGAGTGTCTAAGATGTTCTCTTGCTGCCTTGGCTCATTAACATTCCAAAGCAATTAAATCCTGTGGGAAGGCCTGGTGCTGTGAAACTGCAGATCACATCACCTGCTCTTCTGACATGACCAGAGACCAATCAGAAACCAATAATATCACCCTTTCCTTTATCTGGAAGACATTGCTTGAGCCCTGATTGGTGCTTAGGCCTAGTAACTGGTCTGGGGTTCAGACAATAAATAAGTTACCTTAACTCCTATTTAGGGGGCATGTTGGAGTTGCATGTGAAGTTGACATGTAACTCTGCCTTGCTCACCTTTCGGCCATCTTGGAAGCCCTGATTGCTGAAGCCAACCGGCCTGGCTTTTGGACTCTGGAGACGGAGTACGCTTGGACTCAGAACTTAATGGGTAATATCTTGACTTTGAGAACCAAGGTTCTGTAAGTGTTTAGCTAGTTTGTTATAAGAACATAAGAACATAAGAGATGCCAATGCTGGATCAGGCCAAAGGCCCATCCAGCCCAGCCCTCTGTATTACACAGTGGCCAGAAATACCAGTGCCATCAGGAGGTCCACCAGTGGGGCCAGGACATTAGAAGCCCTCCCACTGTTGACCCCCCCCAAGCACCAAGAAGACAGATGTTAATCTTTAGCTTTCTTGTTTTATCCCCCACAATATTATTCTAAGTTGCACTTTTTAATAATATACTCTGCACTTAAATAAATGCAATTTGCCAGCAAGGCAGGATACAAATTGAAAATAATAAATAATAAATAATATATATTTTATTGACCAATTCTGGTTTCTGATTCCACTGCTGCAATGAGTTATCTGGTGCCTGGGACTGTCAGTTACTACCTCTAGAATAACCTGTGGGTCTCCTGTTGTGAGCCAACCTTGCAGGGAGGATCCCCTAGTTGAGCCCGCTAAGGCCTAAAGTCTGTTCTTTGGCTCTGAACTGGAGGGATATAAGGGCCGGTGGTAGCACTACCTGGTTAAAGGTAAAACAGGTGCCTTTAACCCCTCTGTAATTGTAGCTAGCCAGCCTCTTGGCGAAGAGAACTAGCCTGGGTTGGGCAGGCAGAGGGGTTCTCTTTGATACCAGAGGAACTGAAGATGAGCTGTAGTTTTGGGGGATCCCCAGGTCCCATCTGGAGGCTGGCATCCTTAGTGGGGGAAAGGAACTTGTAATAAGAAATTTCTGCAAATTGGAGATGGCGTGTCACAACCATAAAGAAGTGCGAAGAGTAGGAGATGGTCAGTTCACAAGGGCCACGTGAAACAGATTTACAGAAGTTTGAAAAATGTTTTTAAAAGTTCAATGTGTGTGTGTGTATAGGAGCTTGTAAAAAACCCTTTGAAGTTCTGTAAGCCTGTTCCATCTTGCACCTGTAGATCAGTTTTGTTTTCCCCTTTTGTGTAATAAAATGCTTCTGTTCTTTATCGCCACCCAGAGAGGTATTCCACGCTACATCTACCTGGGGATTGATCACATTTTCACAATATGCAAAATTATTATGGCTTGCTCAGGGAAGATGCTCTATCCATGAGACTTGGAGTTCCTCAGCTTAATTATTTTGCTGAGCAACCCATCTGTCAGAGAGGCCCCTGCACTCCTGCTTTAAGCTAGGAGAAAGCTATCCTGAAGTCCATGGTAGCATAAGTGTGTCAGCTAGTCTCTCACTTCTGTGTTTTTGAATTTTCAGAATAACCACCACCCCCTACTTCCTGTGCTGTAATTTTGCAGGTCAGAACACAGTGGGTGGTTGAATACACTTAGGTAATTCATAGTTGAAACAGGATTAAAGCATGCAGAGAGAGAGAGAGAGAGAGAGAGAGAGACCATTCATCTGTCTGTTGGTAATCAGCCTCCAAAGTAAATGCCCTGAAAAGAGCTGTGTCATGTATTGCCTACAGCTGGCCAGCTCCTTGCAGCAGTAACCCTCTTTATTGTGCTTTGTTGTATTTGAGTGAGGATGGGAAATCAGGAACAGCTGCAGAAGAAGTGTGACCTCCTGCAAATGACATTAAAAGTTGAGCTACTCTTCTGTTGGGCATCGCTCCGGTGGTTCTCTCAGTTGCCAAAACTGATTATAATCCCCTTTTCCCTTTGTTCCCCTGTGCAGACTGAACAGGTAGGTCACAAGTAAGACCCTTTAATAGGGAACAGGATAGAGATAAGGGAGGAGAGCAAACAGATGCAGGATTCTTGCCTTTCCCTTGTTTATTACCTGACTTGGGGCCCCCTACTGGGGGGGGGGATTCTGCACACAAAATAAATGTTAAAGGCTATATTTAAACCATGTCACTCACACTTCATTATTCTGATACTTGTGGACACAAAATGTTATTCTACATTTTAATGTCAATTAATTTATGTCAATTAAGCTACATTTTTTAAAAAATGTCAACAACACTTTCGTTATTCTGATGCTCCTATTAAACTCCTCTATTTCCAAGCTGGACTTCAATAATTTCTTAGTACTTGGTCTTATTCTTGTAATAAAAGGTAAAGGCTCCCTTGCTCGAAAGCCAGTCGAATCCGACTCTAGGGTTGCGGTGCTCATCTCCATTTCCAAGCCGAAGAGCCAGCGCTGGCCGAAGACGTTTCCATGGTCATGTGGCCGGCATGACTAAACACCAAGGCGCACGGGACACTGTTACCTTCCCACCGAAGTGGTACCTATTTATCTACTTGCAATTTCTTGCTTTCGAACTGCTAGGTTGGCAGGAGCTGGAACTAGAGATGGGAGCTCACTCCATCATGCGGCACCCGGGTCTCGAACTGCTGAACTACCGACCTTCCACAGCCTGCAGTTCAGCGTCTTAACCACTTGAGCCACCACAGTTCCTGTATTCTTGTCATACCTCTTGTTATTATACATAATACTGCTTTGTTTGGTATGATTTCAGTTAAGGCTGCCCTCCCTCCATCGTGCTCTATTTGGTCCACCAGGTGACTGAAGGAACCTCCCTCAGAATTTAGAACAGGCAGGCTATAAAAGCAGTCACAAAATTAATGGAGTAGGGCAGCACTGGAATTGATTGCAGTGGGAGCCATTTTCATTACTTTGGTCTGACTTTTTGTTTCCCCAGAATTCAGGATTCTGTTTCCTCAGCTTACAGGGGTGCTGACTCTGGCTTTCTTTATTCATAATTGTGTCATTACCCTGCTTAAGAACAACAAGAATCAGGAAAACAATGTAAGTAACAGCATGAGAAACTTGTGTCTGCAGGTGATAAATGCTTCTTGTCTGTTTTTTGAGACTAGGTGTGGCATGCACAGAGCTAAGAGGACTTGTGTTCCTGCCCTTTTCCTCCCAAAGATTTCTCCCTGCGCTGTCCTTTGTTGCCTAGCATGCTAGTGTGTTTGAGGGGTCAAGGTGCAATGAAATCCATCAAGTAAGAACTGTGTACATGTGCCCTGACAGAAATGAAATCCAATATGGTATAGTGGTCAAAAGTAGGACTGGGGAGATCCAAGGTCACATCCTCACTTGACTGAAAATCACTGGCTGACCTTAAGCTTAACCATGTACTTTTCAGCCAAACCTTCCTCAAAGTTGTCTGTGTGGGTAAATTGGAGGAGGGAAGAAACATGTACTTCTAAGTTCCTTGGAGGAAGCAGGGATAAAGATGTAGGTAGATATATAAAAAGATTTCACGTGCAGTCCCTTGAAGAAGAAAAATGTTTCACAGTTTGCCTCAGCATGACAAAGTTACAGCCCGCCAAATAAAGTATGAGAGACCTACCTAAAGAACAAACAGAATGTTTAGAACTACAGGAAATTATTTATAATATACTAGGAAAAAGGCCCGTTGTGGAAATAAATACAGCGGCCTCTAGAAAGAGGCTCTGGGCGGGTGTCCCGGCCTTGGACAATCAGTGTCAATTTGCTGTGGCGACCTCACAGCAGGGTATAATGACACTGAGTCCACCATTTTCTCCAGAGGAACTGATCTCCGCAACCTAAAGTACAGTTGTAATTTTGAGTGATCTCCAGCCCTCACCTGGAGATTGGCAAAGATGGTTCCCCAGAAAAGAATACTTGGTTTGGAGGTGGAGTCTATGGCTTTGTACCTGTCCGAGGTCCCATGCATCCTGAAACCTCACCCTCTCCAGGCTCCATCCCTCATGTTTCCAGGAATTTCCCACCTGGAGTTGGCAATCCTATCTCCTTCCCAGCCAATCAACCTACCTTTATTTCCCCCTCACTCTTAAGCTTCCCACCTCCCACACACCTGCAGCCCCCCCTGTGCTCTGAAGCCCTGAATGCTACATCACATTGGCTGTCATATGGGGACCACCTCAGCAGCATATAAGGATACAGAGCCCACCATTTTCTTCAGGGGAACTGATCTCTGCCATCTGGAAAGCAGTTGTAAGGCAAAGGCCAATGAGGCTGCATATGCAAATGACCTCTGTGTTCTGACTGGCTATGGGGGGGAGAGGAACAGCAAAATGTTTAGAATGTTGGAGGCAGGACTCAGGCAAAGCAGCCAGCGGATAGGGAGACCCTCTGAATGACAGATCAGAGAGCTAACTGATTTTGGAGCATGTGGAATGTTCTAGAAAAGTGCCACCACCATTCGGCTTTTATTTATGAGATAGTAGTGACAGGCAACCTTTTAAACAAGAACAATACTAGAAATTTATCTAGATAATTAATTTTACCCTTTGCAGATGTTTTCAAATGCTTTTTAGTGAATGTGCCCAACAGCTAATCTCCAGTGGTATAGTGCATGTGAAATCATCTCATTCTGAAATTATTGTCTTCAAATACAGGGAAGTTTTAATATCAGTATCTAAAAAAAGTCCTCTTAACTGGAGATGCTAAGGACTGATCCTGGGGCCTGCTGCGTGCAGAGCTTCAGTGATCCTCAGCCCTCCCGCTTGTGAATTGTGTGCTAGATAAGCAAGTTAATGTGAACAGTGGCATTCATATAAGTTAGATATCCAGCAAAGTAATAGAAAACCCAAAAGTTTAGCATTCATTATATGCGGCTTTCCCAGCCATTTGGCATGTTTGCCATTGCATTTCCAGTCTTACCTCCTGGCCCATGGATTGTAGGAGCTTTCTCGGGGAAAGGGGCAGTGGGCAGAATCTGGGTTCTAAAAAGATCTTTACCATTCTTCCTCCCTGGCAAAGTAGCAACTTCATCTGCCGTGTCTATAATTCCATGAAGGCCATAAGAATGCCTTGCCAGTTTCCTGGTTGACTTCCTCCTGTGGTGTCACTATTCTTTACTTTGGGGTGTCATTTCCCATGGCTTTCCATATTGACCTGAGTTGTTCTGGACCAGCATTTCTTTCATCCTTCTTCCCCTTCGCTAGCTACTTAAGGATATCATTTTTTTGTGACTCTCATTGTTATTCTTTCTTCCCCTTCATGAATAAGATTCAACGAAGAGGCAAGCCCTCCAGAAAGTGTAGCTACATGTTCATCTTTCGCCTAACTTCCAGTTTGGTGCAGTGGTTAAGTGTGCGGACTCTAATCTGGGAGAACCGGGTTTGATTCCCCACTCCTCCACTTGCACCTGCTGATGTGACCTTGGGTCAGTCACAAGCTCTGGCACAGCTGTCCTTGAAAAAGAGCAGTTTGTGTCAGAGTTCTCTCAGCCCCACCCACCTCACAGGGTGTCTGTTGTGGGGAGGGGAGGGGAAAGGAGATTGTAAGCCGCTCTGAGACTCCGAGTGAAGGGCGGGGGATAAATCCAATCTCCTCTCCTCCTCTCCTCTCCTTCCATCTCCGCCTTTTGCATCAGCAGGATCTTTTCTTGCTCATCCAGAAGCACATTTATTCTCCTGAGTTCTGCCACTTTCTCATCCTCTTGCATTTCTGAATCATCAGGGGTAACTTTTATTTCATGAAAAGTCAGTGCAAGCTCTGATGATATTGTTGCTGCCATCTTTGCTAACGTCTGTGCTCTAACTATCCAAAATAACAAATACGCTACTCCACCCATATAGTGTGTTGCTCATAGGTTTGCCTGTGCACACAAGCCCCAGTTCCATCAAGCTGCCACCATGTCAAGAAACCCAAACTTGGGCTTCCCTGAACCACTGCCTCCCAGACTATTAAGCAGTGCTCCACCTCATGGGTCCTTGGGGTTAAATGCACACAAGGAAACCAAAGATTTTTTTTTAATTACATATAGGCTTATTAGACAAAGACAATAGAAATAACACCATTCAGCAACACAGTGTCTGAGATCAGTTAGCACAAAACATAGTAAAACTAACTTGCCTTTCTGTCACTTTAATACTTGGCCATAACTGATGCACCATTTGGATTTGGAGTTCAGGGTAGAAGCTTCTACGTCTGCCCAAAAAATCTAAGTTAGCAATATCTTACCCTTAACTAAGGCCCAATTATAACTTCCTGCGCTCTGATATCAGGTGGTCTTCGAGATCCAGTCCAAGCGCTTGTTCACAGCAACTCTCCAAAGGATGATGCAATCCGCTCCTAATTTCCCCCTCCCATCTTGCTACCAAACTGAGTGCAACTCTTTTTTCACTTAACCAATTACCACCTCCTGATATCAGGCCTTAGAAGAGATGAGGATAGCATTTAGAGGAAAGGTTAATTGGCAACATCTGCAGGCTGAAATAAACTCACAGTTGTTCATATTAACCCTTGGTGAACCAGACAGCTTTGCTTCACAAGGTCCCTAAAGGAAATGCCATGAATTCACTATGTGACCTTAAGACAAGCCACTATCTCAAAACTATCACCACCATCTATAATTTCTAATTGTAATATTAGTTTAGGATTGATTTAGGTCATTGACAGAATCTTTGAACGCTTGGAAACTATTATTTTTCTTGAGCAATCATGAAGGCAGGATTTCTGTGTCCTGTTGTTGCACATATTTGACTTGGTCATATATATGCTATTTTGACAGCTTCTTCTTTGTTTTTGCTCATAATAATGTAAGAGCCATGCGGGGTCAGACCAAAGGCCCATCTAGTCCCCCTATTAGTTTTCTTGAGCAATCATGAAGGCAGGATTTCTCTGTCCTGTTGTTGCACATATTTGACTTGGTCATATATATGCTATTTTGACAGCTTCTTCTTTGTTTTTGCTCATAATAATGTAAGAGCCATGCGGGGTCAGACCAAAAGCCCATCTAGTCCCTCATTCTGTGCACAGTGGCCAACCAGCTACCTTTAGGGGGTCCACACACAGGAAGACTGCAACAGCATTTAAGGAGGCCAGTGGCTCCTTACAGCCGCAGCTCTGTGCTGCCTTCTCCAATTGCCTGGTTTAAACCAGGCGGTGGGAGAAGGCAGCCCAGATGGGATCACTGTGCCTGTGGAGAGCCAGTCACTCCCCGCAGGCACAGCTCTTTGCTGCCTTCTCCTGCCGCCCGGTTTAAACTGGGAGAGGGCAGCCCAACTGAGATGTCTGTGCTTGCCGGGAGTCTCAGCTTGGTTTGAACCAGGCTGTAGGAGAAGGCAAGCCCAGCCCTATGATTAGGCTGGTATTTTTTTACTGGCATTTTTCAGTCGGGGTCTACTGGACCTGAAAAATTTGGGGATTTCCAAAAAATCCCAGATCTGAATACCATACCAGGAATTTATTGGGAATCCCGATTTTTTTTCTGGTCCAATAGACCCGAACTGAAAAATACCAGTTTAAAATCACACACCCCTAATCAGGAGTATAGAATGCCTTCCACACATACAGAGGCTAAGACACATGGGGGTTCTTGTGCTTAGAAAAGAAAGGTCTAAGGACATAATAGAAGTACAAAATATCACAAATGACCTGGAACAAGTAAATGGAGAACACTTGCTTGCTGTCTCATTTTGCATCAGAACCGAAAGACATCTAATGAGATTCACACGGCGGGCATGAAGGAAAGGACAGAAACTTCTTAAACTGTTTTTATGGCACTGTTTCACATGAAGAGCCGTAGAGGGAACAACAACACCTCAACACTCTCTTTGTATCACTATTTGTAATTTTGCAAAATGGTTTATACTCTTCTTTCTCTTGCTGGCCCTGTGAGGTAGGTTTGCTGCTGTGTTAGGGAAGCTGTGAGAGAGACTGGTCTGAAGCCACGCAATCACTACAGAGGAGGCACATGTACAGGCAGCTGTTGCTGTTGACGGTTTGCAGGGTGGCACCTGTAGAAAGGCCCTGCTCAGATGACCACAGTTGTCACAGCAGGACATAGGTGGAGAGGCAGTCCTGCAGATATGAGGATCCAAGGAGTTTTTATGGGATAGTCAGTATCTTGAATAGAGCTTGGTAACTGATGGGCAGCCGGTGGGGTGACTGCAGAATGAATGTATGAATGTTCCACCTAGCTCCTTGTAGTAATTGAGCTGCAGCTTTCTGCATCAGCTGGAGTCTGCATTGACTTCAAGGGGAAACCTATGTAGAGTACATTACAGTAGTCTAGTCTCAATGTTACTGTGGCATGGATCCAGGAGTAAGTTCAATGAGTCTTTTTTGTGTGTTTGGTGGAAGTGGATCGAACAATTCATTTTTGCTGCATCCTCAGTCATTTGGTTTCAGGAGAGAAACATATGTTTAAACCACTTTTCAGCACACTTTTAAAATGTTTGCCTTCATCCGTAATTTGTGATTTATAACTCCAATTAAGCTCAGCCTAACAGCGCCATGGTTCTCTTATTATGCTCCTTTTCTCCCTGCGGCAGTTGTACTGAATGCTGGCATGGTCTTTGCTTATTTCTTGGCCTATCATTAAAGCTTGTGAAGTTTTTTCCTAATGTCAGGTGGGAGTGCTCTGAGGAAAAGCTATATGACTCATCCCATTTCCTTCCGTTATAGCAGCTGAGATTATAAGCAGCTACGCTCAGTCCTTTGAAAGCTACTTCATATTGCCCTACCATGCCCTTGACCACTTCCTCTATGAAATCAATAGTGATGCATTTCATAGATATCGCAGAGCTTTTGTGGAGAGTCCTGAGTTTAAGGCTTCTTATTGAATCTCCCTCCCCACTTCCTTTTTTCAGTGGTTTGGTTCTTTAAAAATTCCACTTCCATGTAGTGCTTACACAATGTCTTGGACCAGAGCCATTGTTTTATGATGTGTTTGTACAGCTCTTTTACATGGTGGGCTGCTGATCTGTGTCTAGGATTCTAGACAGTGACACAATGCATTTCAGTAACGGCTGTCCAAAGTCTGATCGGTCAGCGAGTTGACTCCTGTTCCCTGCATCTTGTTTTTCTTCAGAAGGGAGGCTGAAAGCCTGTGATTAACCGGTTGCCTGTGAAAAAGGATGACTGCCCTCAGGTGACCATACAAGGCACTTGTTCCCCTTTGCACTATCCTCCCCTACCCTCCGGCAGTTTCCACCTCCTGTACTAACATTAGCACAGATTCAGGTGGGGCAGCCGTGTTGGTCTGAAGCAGTAGAGCAAAGTGTGAGTCCAGCGGCACCTTTTAAGAACAACAAATAAATAATAAAATAAAGCTTTGTTGGTCTTAAATGTGCCACTGGACTAAAACTTTGTTCTGCATTAGCACAGTTACTGTTTTCCTAGCTGGAAGGCCATGGCAGAAGGGAGGCTACCGACCCCCACAGCAGCAGCGTGTTGGAGGAGGAGCAGAAATAGAAGAAAGCAGGGGTCATTTCGTAGAAAAAGAGGTGCAGGAGCTCATTAGCATAACTTATTTGCATATGCCACGCCCCCTGACGTCACCGGAAGTGTGTCAGAAGGCAACACCCACCGCTCAGGCTCCACTGGACTGTTTTGGATTGCTAGCTATTGGGGGGGAACGTGCAGATCTGTCCTCGCAGAGGAGGGAGAACTGGTACCTGAATAAAACTTGGTCTTAAAGGTGCCACTGGACTGTTTTGGACCGGGGGGCTGGGGGGAGCTCTGCAACTTACCTGGCTGCTTCTTGCTCTGACTGAGGACTGCTGGGAGCAGGGGGTGGGGCTTGTTGCATGTGCCCGTCCCCTGGGCTCTTTACTGCCGGAGCTCCGCTCCTGTGCGCTCCTGCAGGAAATGACCCCTGGAAGAAAGTAATTACCCCTCTGAAGATATATCAGGAAAGGTAGTTTGGTCAAATGTTGGCTGTATCAGTGTTGTCTTGGTGCTGTCAAATTCCAGAAGGGCAGCAGTGGTAGTCTCCTTTACTGGTTTTTGTTTTTGTTTCAATCTTTCAAATACTTATCTAGTCAGTAGTTTACAGGCTGGATCCTATGAATGCAATATGCTATTTATAGTTATTGGGATTTTTCAGTAGATGTTACATTTGCACTCATGCTCATTCATTCAGGTTTCTCCTATCTTGTATTTTGACTGTTTTCCATATGGTATTATGTTTCTTTTATATCACGTTTTGGATCCCCTGACAAAGCTACAGCGAAACACAGAGGGGCTTTTTAATGTTCCCTCCATAGATTTTCACTTTCCCACTGCACTTATCAGCATTTCTCTTTCCCATCTTTTGTCTTGGATCCTATGGACCACAAGGAAGCTTACAGGGGGAACTTCCTCCAGTAGTCTCCTGTGACACCCTCCCTTCAGAAGCCATTTTCTGAGAGTTGGAGAGCCCTCCTAGCAACACCATGGGTTGACTTTCCCTTTTCTTCCTACAGTCCCCAAGCCTAATGGCGTTTCATGGAGGAGAATTCCTTGACCACAGCAGAGGGTTTACAGATGTCTAAGGAGGAGACTGGGGGAAGGCAGGGAAGATCCACCTCCATAAGCTCCTTGCACTTGTGGCTTGTAGGACCCAAACGAGTGTGTCTGTAAATGTAAAATTCTGTAGAATTAGACATTTTGCTCAGAATAGGAAGAATCTCTAGTTCTCGTAAATGTGGAGATGCATTTGGAGACACCCTTGAAGCTTCATATACGGCTCTTCATCTGGGTTTTGTTGTATGTGTGCATCCTATGTGTCTACAGGCCCCTTTCTTGTACCCTCCAGTCAAATTTTAAATTAACTCCTCTTGCTAATGAAGAGCTTAGTTTGCAGAAATATTGTGTTTTAATAGTGTGTGTTTGCAAAACCGGCCCAATTAGAGAATGATCTGTGTTGGTAATTAGTGCTTTTATTTATTGTCTGTGCAGCAGGCAGCTCTCCTGCGCTACTTGAGAACCCATTTCTCCAGTTCGGATACTGTGAATGTTTTTGTTTGTGTGATAGACAGAAGGAGAGACAGACAGTGTCCAGCTTCTGATGAGCCATTGTACAATTACATTATATAGATAAATTGTTCTGCTTTATAGAGCTCACTTGATTTACATATTCCATTAATTTTGCTTTCTTTTAAAGAGCTAAAATGTGCAAAATTTGGAAGACTGCAGTTCTTTTCTTTTCTTTTTTTTTGGTACAGCTTTCCAAGAAACATCCCACGATTCAATTTAACTGAATTCAAAGTAAAAATTCTTAGGACTGCAGGCCTTTCTTTGCCTAATAATATGTCTATACAAAACTTTGGGATGGGGGATGGGGACACTGTCTATAACCTACCTTGATTGCTGCCCTGAGATTCTTATTGCATATGTTTTAAAAATTAGCATGTATAGATATGGGGGGGGGGATCCTGCTATGTTGCACAGAAACATAGCCACATGCATGAATCATTACTTTAAGGCAGAGATGGCTGCATGCTTTTACTTGCAGCTCTCCAGGCTGGCTTGTCATTGACTTAAAGTTCTCTGTGCTTCTTGCAGACATTAGCTAGGCCTTGTCTACTATGGCTTACATAAAGGCAGCCCTGATTTGGAAGTGTTTATGGGTCTGCTGTATCGGAAGTGGAAAGTGGGCTGCCTTATAGGGAGGTGTCTCCATGAAGCTTGAGAGAATATCATAATCCTGGGAGGTTTTCAATCTGCTGTCCAGAATGATGGACAGTAGAACATAGATGTGAAGGTCCTCCTTTGGGTTGCTGCTGTCAGGATTGTATGAAAGTCTGAGCTGCCTTTTGGTGATGTGGGAAGCAGACCATTTGCCCCTCACTACCCCAGCATGTTCATACAGTTCTTGTGATGTTTTGCACTTACTAAATCAAAAGAGATAACCAAGTATATGAGATGCCGCCATATCACATAAACATAGATACTTATGGAGTAGGATTGTGAAGCTCTTTAAAGCTTGCAGATTCTCACCACTAGAGATTAGTTTAGCAATAGTTGTGCTAGTAATAGTGCTTGTTTCAGTGCTGTTTCAGTATTCCAAAAATAAAAAAGAATTAGTTCAAGGAGAATACTTAATGGTATGGCACCTGTAGACTATTTTTGTAGCAGAAGGAAGTTTGTATTACTACCCCCACCACCCTATATATATTTTTTTCTAAAACCCATTAACATAGCTTAATTAGGTTTTTTCATGTAATAAACTAAAATTAATGCTTTGTTGAGACTGTTAAAGTAAATTGCTTTTTTGTAATATTGCACATTACAAGAAAAACGTGTTTTTCCAAGAAATCAACTGTATCCACTTAGTAGATACAGTCTGTCCTCAATTTTTCCCCCCTAGTTGGAGACATTTAAGTCATTTCACATGTGGCTCTGTTTACATGGAGGAGCAGGGACAGCAAATTGAAACAAGGATAACTGCATAGTCAAGTTCAGAAGTGGGATGCTCTCTTGTACCTCATGGTTAACGTCCTAATTGTGCTGACTTACTCTTTGTTTTTTGTTCCTTAACCATAGGTGAGAGACCTTTCCATCGCCTATTTTCTGGTGGGTTTGACATACCTCTATGTTGGGGTGTTAATTTTTGCTGCTTTTCCATCTCCACCATTGACCAAAGAATGCATAGAACAGGTAGGTGAGAACCTTATGGCTCAATGAGTATCCTTCAGTATACTTGTAATTTAATGCTGCTACATTCCTTGTTCTCCCATTCTTTTTCCATTGATTTGGAATGGATATTAAGAATGTAAGAAGAGCCCTGCTGGATCAGATCAATGGTCCATCTAGTCCAGCATCCTGTCTCACACAGTGGCCAACTAGTTCTTCTGGCGGGCCAACAATAAGGCCTTCCCTTGATGTTGTCTCCTGGCTCTGGGATTCAGAGGTTTAGTGCCTCTGAGTGTGGAAGTTCCCCTCAGTCACCATGACTACTAGCCATTGATAGACTTATTATCCATGAATCTATATAATCCCCTTTATCTGTTTAATCTGTGCCCATCACTACATCCTCTGGCAGTGAATTACGTAGTTTAATCACTCTCTGTGTAAAGTAGTATTTCCTTTTGTCCACCCTGAACCTAGTGCCCATCAGCTTCATTGGATGCCATTGAGTTCTAGTGTTTTGGGAGAGGGAGAAAAATGTATTTGTCATCTCTGCCCACCCCTTGCATAATTTTATAAGCCTCTATATTGTCCACACTTGATCCACATATTAGCACTAAACCAGAATTGTGGATAGTGCGCCACATAAATGACACCAGATTGGTCCCAACAGTATAAAGTATTAAATGTAAGTTGTCTCCAATCTATAGTTAGGTAGTTAGATCACGTCAAAGTGGGGCAGATGTTTTTGGCTTTAGGTTGGGATTGTCATAGGGGCATCTTGCTGCCTGTTCTAGATCTGTTCACAAATTCCAAACAATAAAAATAAACAAAAGAAAGAAAGAGCCAAGGAGGTTTTAAGGGAATGATTCAAACAAAAGAAAATGCCAGTAGAAGACTATTGCAGATCACTGCTTGATAACTGGCAGTAATCAATACCACACCAAGCAGGAGTTTCTTCCCCTTCTCATTCAAGAAGATCCAAAAACTGCTGGCGAAAAACAAACAAGAGGACTGAGAAGGAGCAGGGCTGTGGTAGAGCATCTGGTTTCACGCAGAAGGTCTCAGGTTCAGTCTCTGGCATCTCCAGCTAAAAGCATCAGGTAGTGGGTGATATGAAAGAACTCTCACTGAAGCTCTGGAGAGCTGCTGCTAGGCAGATCAGACAGCACTGATGCTGGGAAACAAATGGTCCGACTTAGGAAAAGGCAGCTTAAATAAAGGGCTTTGCTCAGTGGCCGAGCACCTGCTTTGCATGCGGAAGATCCTGGTTCAGTTCCTATCATCTGCAGGGTTTTTGTTTGTTTGTTTTTTAAGAATTGGATAGAATTTGAAGAGGTTAAAGACCTCTTCTGAGATCCTGGCTAAACAGAACTGACCTTGATAGATCAGTGATCTGACTTGGTACAAGGTGGCTTCAGGTGTTTAAGAGGATCAAAGTGTCCCAGTTGATTTGAGCAGAGTTAATAAAGGGAAGAGAGGAAGATCCAACATGAGATAGGTTGACCCAATACAGGAAGCTATGGCCCTCAGTTTGCAAGACCTGAGCAAAGCTGTTAAAAGATAGGATGCCATTAATTCATAGGGTTGCCATAAGTTGGAAGTGACTTGATGGTACTTAGTCCTCGTGCGCAAGCTTGCGCGCGCACACACATAATAATAGATTTAATAGATTCAAACAACTAGCTGAAGAGATAAAAGCTTATTGCTTTGGCATGCTAGCGGTTCTTGCAAATGAGTGTTAGCTCAAAGACTAACTTACATGGCCTTTTAACTACAGTCTCATTCACAACAGTGGTCACTATGCCAAACAAATGCCCCCATAATGGTTGTCATCATCACTTTAGCTGTTCATTTCAATCCACCCTCCACCTAGGAAGATCAAGGGGCAACGTTCACTTTCTTTTTGTAGGTACAGATGCATTTTAAAGATGTAAATATTATGTGCCAATATAGATAATATCTCTCTCTGGGTTCCCAGTGGCTGTGTGAGAATTGATAAACAAATATAAGATCAACAGTCGTGTTAGTCTGATCCGCAATCAACAGTCATACGACTTATAAGAATTGCTGTACATGTATTGTGCTCTGAAGCATTACAATATGATACACAACTTAATAGAATATAAACCAAGGTACAACGTCGTCTCCGGATTATTTACCAACGTTTCAAAAAATTGAATCTTCTTCAGGAAATTTTATAGAGGTGCCAAAGCTCTCATTTTCATAAAAGCTAGACAACAAGTCTTAAGCATATCACGATTCAGATAGGACGCTGATCTCAATTAACACGCAGTGTTTTTTTCTGGATCCTAGGCGTTTATCTGTTTTAGTCGTGTGTGTCCAGATTTTTTGTGTGAGAACTGAAACATATTCTAGTGCTGACATTTTGTTTGTGTATTAATGATGACTATATTGGGGTCCGCATTTCTCCTTGGGCATCTTAATAGCAGATGAAAATGCATAGCATAACAATCTGTCATTTTTTTGTCTCATTAGCCTTTCCTCTGTTAGAATTTTTTAGATAATTTCCCCAGTGATGACATCTTGTCATTTCTTGGACGAATATTCCTGCTATGCTGTTCCAGATGATGACTGTGTACCCACTGCTTGGTTACTTGGCACGAGTTCAGCTTTTAGGACATGTTTTTGGGAATGTTTACCCGAGGTAAAGACAATTTGTGTCTACATACTGTACCAGCTAACTCTCACCCACCCTTCCCACCTTGAACACAATACCATTGTTTGTTTTTCGTTTATCAAGGTGACCCTTTTAATAGTGGGGAATGATGGCTTCCACTACTTGTTTTTGCAGACCACGAACTGCACAATGTTTTGAAGGACTCTTGAGGAGGTGCAGGTTGCCATTGGCAAATGCGCTGATAATATTAGGAGTGAAACTACTCCACAAATGGCATGCTTCATACCAGACTTCTGACTCTGGGTACTGGTGCCCTAACTCCTGTTTCCAAAAGAAAGTATCCCTTTAGTAGTAAAGAGTCTCATACTTGGCTAGGAAGTCCTCATGGGCCATCCGGTTGCAACAAAACCTTCATGTAAGTTTTTCCATTGAGCTGAGAAAAGTGTCTTAAGGAGTAAATAGAAACCCTGTTAGATTCCCTTTAGACCAGAGTCACTGCCTAGCCTTCAGTAATAGGAAAACAAGTCCATGAGAATCCTAAAGTCTTCTCTTTTGAGAGTGTCTTTAGGAAGGGTTCTTTGACACGGACTCCTAATGTGAGACAACTTCCTAACTATGTTTTCAGTCAACACATTCAAATAAAATGGTCACGGTGCAGATGGAGAGAAGTAAATATAAGTTGAAAACCATATCTATGTCAACACTGCCAGCTACAGCTTTCCAGCTGCTAGCTAGAGTTGTTGTTTGTTAGTTCACATTTTTCTCAGTTCATCTGTCCACACATAGTTATGTTATTCATTTGTGACTAAGGGAACTAATTTGTAACCAGGTATATGTTCTACAAGATGCTCCACTTACTTAATAGCCTTGTGGCTATTTATAATCCAATATTTGTTGACTATATCTCTGAATGGTAAGTGTGTAGCTTTTTAGTGGACCTTGTTAGGACTGTATTACTCCCTAAAGAAAGGATAAGTAGGAATCCTACATCTGTAGAACAACATGGCCTGAAAGCAATAGGTTACGTTCCAGTCCCTAAGCACAGTTGCATCCTTCTAAGCCCACTGACTTCACTGAGGGGCTAGGAATCAAGAGGTACAGCATCCGCTTTGCATGCAGCATGCCCTAGATTCAGTCCTGAGCATCTCCATCTAAAGGGATCTGGTAGAAGCTAATGTGAAAGACCTCTGTCTGAGACTCTGGAGAGCTGTTGCCCACTAGAGTAGATGGTAACGACCTTGGTAGACTAATGGTCTGGCATAGTCTGAATAGCAGGATTGTACTGTCACTTTGTTGGATCCCTTCTGTTCAGGGAAAGGCTCCCTTAGATCTAATCCAGTGCATTAGTTCCTACTATTTGTCTTGAAGATTTATAGTTCTGAAGAGATGGAGTCAAGGAAAGGTGGTTCTGAAAATATTTGAAAACAGTCTCATGTCCCTGTCTTCAAACTTTCCTTGTCCAAATTGCTTCACCTGCTGAAATCTGTAAGGAAAATTTACTGTCTTCATCTTTAAACTCCATCTTGCTTCTTATGGTCTGCCATGAATCTCATAATCCTGAAAGACCAAAAACATGCAGATGTGAAAAATTATTGTCTTATAGTTACTGGCAGTAAAGTTTTAGGAAAAAATCGGATAAAACCAGATAATTACATTATTGGAAGAAAATTGTAGTCTAATCACCACACTTTGGCAGCAAGCTGAGAACCCATTTCGACTTCAAGGAAGAATTAAGGAATTTGTCCCCTGCCAGACACCAGTTTTCTGACAATTGGTTTTGTTGAGAAACACATTGTTTCTGTGTTGTTTTTCTAAATAAGGTCTGTTTTGTGTCCAGAAGTTTAAGATGCCAGATACGAGAATCTGCTTTCTGGTATAGGCAGGTCTGTGAGACTGTGTTGTCCCCATGTTCTTGCACGCATATTTGCTGTGACTCTTTTGAGATCCAGTTTCTGGACGAAACTGCTGACATCTGCCATGACTTAGATGCCATGTTGGTTCAGTTCACTTGCAGAATGATATTGTCATACAATCTAGTCCTAGTTGCAAGCATGATTTTCATTTGCTGAAGCCTGATAAAGTCGATGAGTCACTTAGAAGTGTGTGTCCCACCGTATCTATAAATGTGAAAGGATGGGGGGATGCTTACCAAATATCACTGTAGAATCTCCATTTATATTGATAGAGGCACCCTGCAAGTCACCTTTGGAACTACTGAAGCTTGATTGGTGCTGCTAGAAACCGGGTGGAAGTGTAAATTAGTCTCTTGCAAGTCTCACTGAAATATGGTGGATTGCACCGTCAAAGCAAAGTAAAGGTAAAGGTTCCCTTGCTTGAAAGCCATTTGAATCTGACTCTAGGGTTGCGGTGCTCATCTCCATTTCAAAGCCAAAGAGCCAGCGCTGTCCGAAGACATTTCCGTGGTCATGTGGCTGGCATGACTAAACACCAAGGCGCACGGAACGCTGTTACCTTCCCACTTAAGTGGTACCTATTTATCTACTTGCAATTTCTTGCTTTCGAACTGCTGAGTTGGCAGAAGCTGTAGAATCTCCATTTATATTGATAGAGGCACCCTGCAAAGTCACCTTTGGAACTACTGAAGCTTGACTGGTGCTGCTAGAAACCGGGTGGAAGTGTAAATTACTCTCTTGCAAGTCTCATTGAAACATGGTGGATTGCACCGTCAAAGCAAAATCCTATGCCTATTTCATTGTGATTTTCCACATAAGAACCTTCTTACCTTCCTGAGAAATTCTCCAACTTTTTAATAACACCGGCATCTTTTCCTTTATTAAAGATGAAGTACTTGTTGGAGATTACTAGTTAATCAAATATGCCGGATACGCAAGCTTTTTGGTCTGCCCTGCTCCCTACCCAGAAGAATTCACAGCAACCAAACCTACCCTTTTGGGAATGCCACAGTGACAAGCCCTCATGCCTGGTGGGACTCTTCTCCCCAAGTGATGGAACCTATGCAGCTGGGCCATAGACCAGCTGCTTGGGAGAGCCCTCTAGCAGATCTGGGTCCTGAGGGCTCAGTGCAGGCTAAGGGGCAAGGAGGCACCAGAGGCCAGTTTTCAAGTTGAGTAGCCAGAGAGGCAGGAGTGGGACATACACATTCTTGCTGTCTGGAAGAAACTGATTGATTGAGCCTTCTTTATAGTCAAGTGCCAGATAAGAAAGCTTTTACTGTACCTTGATATAAATATTCATGTAAATATGTGCATGTTCAGTCTCTTTTTAAAATAAACTGTATTAAGTGAGGCCATGTCCTGAGAGCCAGTTTGGTGTAGTGGTTAAGAGCGTGGACACTAATCTGGGAGAACCGGGTATGATTCCCCATCCTCCTCCACATGCATCTGCTGATGTGACCTTGGGTCAGTCATAAGTTCTTTCAGAGCTGTTCTCTCAAGGGCAGTTCTTGAGAGAGCTCTCTCAGCCTCACCTACCTCACAGGGTGCCTGTTGTGGGGAGGGGAAGGGAAAGGAGATTGTAAGCCACTCTGAGACTCCTTCGGGTAGTGAAGGGCGGGGAATAAATACAATCTCTTCTTAATTAAGGTTGAGTTGGGACCTATGCAAAATGCTTACTGGAGTGAACATAAGGTGCACAGTGATTATTACATTCCCATGTGTGCTTTGCTGCTTTTAATGAGACTTGCATGCAGGAGGCTCTGCATACTGTCTTTACTTCTATAATATGCAGTTGTGTGGCAACAAACTCCCTTCCCCCCATATAGGGAATTTTCCGATATCTTAAGCAAGGAAGGTAAGAAAATGAAAGTCTAGGAGCTCGGTCAGACTCCCTCAACTATTTTCACTTGGCTTCTTCCAGCCAGGTAGGTCAGTACCAACTCAGAGGGCTAGATATGTCCAAGGCCACCAGTAATTCAGGCTTTTCCATACTTCCTCACTCTTTTTTGCATGCTGTGCCAAATCATGTACTTATTTACTGCACACTCTCCAAATGCCATTCACCTGGTAATTATTTTTGGCATATAGTTAATTCCCAGCACTCAAACAAGAGTATTCTGTTACCAGGAAGCTGTGAGTCTTCCCCAGGCTAGCTCACCCATTGTGATTTATCATGCATGAGTACAGTTGCGTTTGTTCCAGGAACTCTTATCGAATAGTGTTCTGTGATGTCAAGGTGAGCAGTAGAACTCTCCTCCATCCCTCCTACCTGGACCATAATACTTTGTGAATGGCTTCATGCTATAGGAGCTGTGTGCTTTCCTTGCTGTATGAGTTCAAACTGCGAAGCAGCCACCCAGCCTTTGAAGAAGAAGAAAAAAACCAGCAGTTCTACTCATAACAATGTTCTGAATGTGGTGGGTCGCTTTGTGGTGTCATACCCAGTATTATTATGAAATGACTGTTTGACTATGTCAATTTTAGTTTTCTCTGTGTGATATAAATATGAGACTTGGTTAGTTTTCTCTAACCTTGACTGAGATACCAGTTTTGATTTTTAAAGGCTTTTTTAAAGGGAGTAGTATTGCTATCCACTACAGGTGTGCTTCATTCTTGCTTAACAGTACAGGAAAACTACAGAGAATTATGGGGTGTTTCATTTCTAGACCTTACCTAACCCTTAATCAACCTTTCCTCCCAGGTTCACAGCTGGGCATGCTGGAAAGATGTCATTGAGCAACTGTAGATGGCCGTCCATCCAACCGAGCAGACATTCTTGCTATCTGTAGTTACCCCCAACCCCCCCCCCACACACACACACACAAAACCTTGCCAATTTTAATTCCAATGCCTACTTATTTTTGTGGTCCAATAAAGGTCCTTGTATATTTGCTGCCCTTGTGGTACGTTTCTTTTAATATAGTCGCTGG